TCGTCATAAATATGAACCAGTTGTCAAGCCCCTGAATTTTGATCACGTGACCATGGGGATGCTGCAATGGTTGTATGTATAAAAAAGGGTCAACAGTCACTTTTTTCAGTGGCATTGTAACTTCAAATGGTCACTAAATGAACTGTTGTAAATTGAAGACTGTCTTTATTATGCTTTTGTAGTTTGGATAGCATTGATCAGCATGGCTTTTCTGTTTGTTGCTCTTATATCAAGAGTGGGATTAATGATATTGTTATACCCTTTCAACTTCCCCAATGATGAAGTTTCTAGTGGGAAAGTGGCCCAGAATTTTGCATCCTTTTGGCGAAGACTCTTCAAAGACACGTTGTCTTAATCTTTGCTGTATTTACAACTTACAGACAAGAGTCCAAGCGAGTAGATCTGCTTAAAACGCAGAGATTCCAATAAGATGCAAGTCCCAGCTGGCATGCAAGCAGGCAGTGGCTGTTGCCAGGCAAGGGAGGGAGCATGGCTTGCTGGCATGGCAAATCTGGGGCCAGCGGCTGCCAGGCAAAAAGAAAAATGCAGTTGGCCCACAAGTTTTGGCAAGGTGCAAGTCCAGAAGTGGCTGCTGTTGTGTCAGGGAAGGTGCATGGGTGGCCAGAAGTGGCTTATGTTGGGTGGGAGAGAGCACATCGGTCGGTGGCTGGTGTGGCATGAGCATAGCAGGGCTGGGGCAACTGTTGCCAGGAGGGAGAAAGTAATTTCCTCTGCCAGAGTTGCTTTGTTGAAAGCTAGCAGGAAAGATTGCAAATGGTGATCACCTGGGCACAGGATACTGCAACCAATGTAAGTGCAAGCTGGTTTCCAAAAGATCATGTAACTGTGGGAGTGCTGGGACAACTGGAATATCTAGCACTAGTTGTAAGTACTACTCATTCAGTAACAACATAACTTTGAATGGGTGTTGAACGGTTATGAAATGAGAGCTATCTGTATATCCACCCTACTCTGTTATTTGGAATACATGAGAATGAAAAAGGCCCCTCTTATGTGCCATTCATTAAAGTTTAAATTATTTTTGGGAAAAAAAAAATCACAATTTCACAGCCTTTGGTTCAATCAATAGAAGTCTTTATAGGTAAGAACATTTATTAACGTAATTTGGGGTGGGTGGGAATCATATAGAAATTTAGCTGATGTTTTGGTATGTATGCAGAAGATAAAACATGCTGAACTTGGAAAAAAAAGTATTGTGCTTATTTAAAGAAATGCCTATAAATGTGTTCTGGATGACTTTTTGTACATAAATCAATTTGCTTATTTGCATTATTCCCAGAACCAGTGCATTTAAATGATAAAGTGAAATTTGACACACAGAGCTACTTACATTAGTGTACGCTGCCACAACTTGTGACCTGTCAAATAAAATAAAAAAAATTAGCTGAGGAATTGTGGCTTATCAAATGTTTGGGAAACTCTCTTTTGTCTTCTCAATAATAATTTTTTAAAAACCATTGTAATTGGCAGTAGAGAATACACTTTGCATAGGGCAGAGAAAAGAGCTTCTCTGTAAAGTTGCCAAACATTTACCTCTTCCCAAATGTTGCTTTTATCTGTGAGATTTCTCCACATGTAAATTCATGTCTTTACAGCCTTTTTGAGAAAGTAAACAGAAAAGCAAGTCTCTTTACTCTCTGCAAATAGCCCCAGTGGGTATCAGTCATTGCCATGGGTGGCACACCCCAATGATTAAGGGCAGATGCATAAGCCATATGAAGGCCCATGTGATGGGTTGATGTAGGGTTTTCTGAAAACATAAGTTACTAATTTTGCACGCATGTATCATATGCTGAAAGGCAGATTCAATATAAACCAATTTCAGACCACATCAATTTATGGAAATATGAATTTACTCTTTTGATCAGTGTGCTACCTGCATTTTGTAATCTTGTGAACACTGTAGTTTGCAGCTCACGTTCGTGTGTTCAAAGGTGACACAAATCAGAATATATCCATTTTGAATGAGAAATGCAGCCCTCCTTTAATCTCTCTTTTCTTACATCATAATGATAATCTGGGGCCCATTATTTAAATGGCAAAAGTACTTTAGGAGGTGGCAAATTTGAGCCCAGCAGTTCCTTTGCTTAGTCCAAGTCCCACAATTCTCCATCCTACAACAAGGATAATAATTGGTGATAAAGCTAAGTAATTTTAAACCCTGAATTGAACAGTGTTTATCCGTGTCCTATTTTAGATAGACACATGGGTTGTTTCTGATATGAAGCATACTATTACTTTTCTGTTGTCCAACCTACCCCATAATGTGAATCCACAGTTAACAGTTGTATTTGAATAACAAACACATATGCTCATCAAAAAAACTTAGGTGGTAGAGGATATATGGTTACTGTCAATGGCATCTCTGGAATAGAGAAACAGAGTATCACTGAGGGAAATGGCAAATGAAATGGATAACCTGAAAGAAGACATATTTGTTGAAACTCAGAATGAGAACATTGTACATTTGATTCTTTGCAAATAATTGTAGATTATCTTAATGCAGGGCAAAAATATGTTATAAGAGACATTGATTTCTAAGTGGACAGTATTTTTAACCTAACATTTATGTGGACTTGCAGTCAAACATCAAATAAAATAGAAACGTTTTCTTTTTTTCATCTCTTGATGCAAATTGTGTAGCATGATGGATATTAAATTAATTCAACTGGAAGCAATGTTACATTGTAGGCCAGGCAGGACAAAGGACTTCCCAACGTATTATAGGAGACTCCAGATCTACCATCTACCATTTACCATCTGCTTAAAGAGATTGTAATTAATTAAATGCATTCCACTCAGGAATTTGCTGAACCAAACTTTATTTCTATATTTAATTGGGAAAACAGCACCATTTGGTCATCAGGCTAGAAAGTGGGAGATTAGCCATGAAAGCCAGCTGGGTGACTTTGGGCCAATCATTCTCTCAGCTCCCAGAGTTGCTGTTGTGAGGAAAAGAGGAGGTGGAAGGTGTGTTGGATACTTCACTGTCTTGAGTTATTGGTAAAAATAATAAAGATGGGATACAAGCAAGCTAGCAAATTGAAATGTAAAGCCTTAACAAATGGATAAACGATTTTAACACAAATCTTCCACGTTTCTGATCTTTGAGCATGTCCATCTATAACAGCCTTTCTCACCTGGACCATCTTTTTCCAAGAGTCTCTACCTGTGCAATGTGATATAAGAGATAGGGCATGTTGCAGATCCTGTTTGCCTAAGAGTGTCAACTGGTGAGAACCTTCTCTGGTGTAGCCCCTGCCTTATGCAATATTTTTCTCTTGGAGATTAGAATGGCCCAAAAATGTGGATATGTACACAGCCCTGGGGTTTGGAATGTGTTAAGGTTTCCTATTTCTTGACTTTATTGTAAATTGGTTAACTATTGTGGCTGCTGTATCTATTTTTTTGGATGTTTTAATTGCTTAATTGTTTAAACTTATAATTTTAGGATTATAAATCACTCAGAGTCACTTGGTTGAAATGATGTTTGAAATTGAATAAATAATAAAATAAATAAGTAATAAATAATAAAAAGGAGAACTGTAGCACCAATGCCCTTAGAGAACTTTGGGTTGGAAAAGTTGCTTTAAAACACAAACTGAGTTCCCAGAATTACTTTTATAATAACTGTGATTTTTCTAGACAACAGCTCTATTAAAGTGGTTATACAAAGTTTAGGAAATGGATGTTCAACTAGAATAACTTCAAGAGATTTTATGCATTAAATGCTGTAGTGGCACATACTTCAAAAGGAATGTGAAAACTGATAGAGATGGGTAGTTGGCTAGCTCTATTCCTTTCCTGTAAAACAATAAACAGACATATATTCTATCTAACAGTTCTTCAAATATTTGACTCTAAGTAGATGAGAAGGAGAAATTTAATACAGCAAAAGGCTGCCTACCCCCTCTACATTAAGCTTAAGCCATAATTTCAGCTTGACAGATCTGAAAAACTACTTCAAAAGAAATCTTATCAGTGTTTGATTATGCCCCTTAAAATTTTAATTAACGTTTTAAAAGTTTGCTTTAGCCCATCCATTTTCAGAAAGGGGCCAAGGCAGCCCACCAGCTACAAGACTGGACATAAAAAAAGCTGTGCTCAGACACGTTACAGTAGCTGACATTTGTGGTTCGCAGGTCTTTTGCAGTGGACGGCGCCCAAAGCCCAAACCGGTGGCCTGAAATTACACCCACGCGCCTCTCCCATCCGCCCAGTAAGGTAATGCAAGCATCGGAGGCCGGCTTCATCCCACTTTCAAGCACCTCCGATGCAAAGCGTAGGGCGTGAATTGTTCCTCTGCAGCCAACGCCATTGCAGGCCGAGCAGGTCAGCACGTTGGAGCTCAGCAAACGGAGAGTAAAATCTCGAGAGGGAAGGATGGAAGAGCTGTTGGGACAACGAAGAGGAAGGGGGAGACTGCTGGCGGTCTGAACGGCCAGTTAAAGGCGAAAGGTTACGTGTGTTCTCCGCGTGTACGGCGTGACTAATATTCCTGACTATGCTTGTTTCCTCCGATTAGAGCAAGGGGTGTGGGGGGGCTGCCAGGCGACAAAGGGCGCCTTAGTCGATCTCGCCCAGCTGATGGTCCCAAGATGACCCCCTCTGACGGAGAAGAGCCTGATCGAGGGGCGCAACAAGATCGGGGGGCGCAATAAATACCAGAAGCCTCAGGCTCAGTCACCTCAGCCCGCGAGAAGAGCAGAGAGAGAAAGAGAGCGGGAGCCGCAGCCTTCCCTTAGCAAAGCTCACTTTAAGCCCTCATTGCAACCCTTCTGAATCTCCCACCACCACCACCCGGCTATCAAAGCGCTCAGCAACCGCTTCACCGTCCTAGACGCGCACTCGCCACCTGCGACCGACGCCCGCCGTGGCAAACCCCGAACGCCCCGCTCCCCACACACACCCCGCCGGTGTCGCTGCCTCTGCTGTCCTTCCCGCCTCGCTCTCGGTCTCCTGCAGCGAGCGGCGGGGCCATGGAACCGTTCCAGCTGAACCTGCAGGCCTACCAAAACGGGGACTTGCATCCCAGCTGCCTCTTCGATGGGCCGAGCGGCGGCCAGATGCGGAGAACGTCTCTGAAGGACCACGGCGCTCGAGAAGCGGAAGAAAGGGAGCGGCTCCCGGGACTGGAGGCCGCCTACGCCACCATCCTGCAGGGTTTGGGCGAAAACCCGGGGAGGCAAGGGCTGTTGCTGACGCCTCGGAGGGCGGCCAAAGCCATGCAGTTTCTCACCAAGGGCTACTATGAAACCGTCGAAGGTGAGTCTCCCCTTTCAATCCAAGATAGGAAAGAGGGCTTCGGTTCCTTCCAAGGGGCGGCTAACTAGTCCTAATCTTCATCTCTACTCAAAATAGGGTCTGAGAGGGAATTTTGAAGTGCCTTTTTCAGGCAAAGTGCTTTTAGTTTAGTTTACTTTGTTGTCATTGCACCTCATACAACGAAATTAAATACCAACTTCAGTGTACATTATGACTATGAAAAGAAACAAACACACATCCTTTACAGTCTATACATTGAATTGAAAATCCCTGATATTGCATTAATATTGCACTATACAATAGCATTCAGTAGAGTTATTATTGCCCTGGGATAGAAGCTGCTTTTCAGCCTATTTGTCCTTGTTTTTATTATCCTGTACCATCTGGCAGATGGTAATAGTTTTTAAAAAGTGGGGGAGGTACCCAGGATGAGATGGATCTTTGGGAATGTTTTGAACTTTCTTAAAGCAGTGGGAGCTATAAAGCTCTTCCAAAGAAGGGAGAGGGCAACCAATGATCTTCTGGGCAATGACGTTAACCCTCTGGAGTGCTTTCCTATCTGCCACTGTGCAATTGGCAAACCATGCACAGGTGCAGTAAGTTAAAGATACTCTCTATGGTGCAGTGATAGAAGGTCGCCAGCAGTTTTTCATTCAGTTGTTGTTTTCTGAGAAGCTTCAAGTAGTATAATCTCTGCTGGGCCCTTTTGACCAGGGCTGCGATGTGAGCACCCCAGGTTAGGTCCTCTTTTATGGTAACACCCAGAAACTTAAAACTGGCCACTTGCTTCACTCGGTCTCCATTGGTAAGCAAGGGCTGGATGTCTGATCTGTTTTTTCTATAGTCTACTATAAGCTTTTGGTCTTATTGGTGTTGAGGACCAAGTTATTGTCTCCACATCACAAAAGCAACCGGTCCACCTCATCTTGATAGCCAGACTCATCCCCCACCCCGGGATGAATCCCACTACTGTTGTATCATCTGCAAATTTAGTAATAGTATTACTAGAGTGAGTGGGAATGTAGTTATGCATATAAAGAGTATAGAGTACTCTTTAGCAGGATGGTTTCTAGAAGCACTCTTGGAAAAAAGTTCAGGTAGAAATTGAGGCCAGCAGTTCTAGATCCTAGTCCCTCAAATCTTTCAACACAAAATGTGAATTACATGAAGTGCAAAATGAAAAATCCACTATCTCATGATTTGAAATTGCATTTAAATAAACAAGAGTATGGTTAAGATTGATGCTTTCCTAATCCCACCCAACAAAAATAATTGTATATAGTATATGGAATGGGTGCATCTCATTTAGTAGGGTGTGTATAAGGTTCCAGCCAAGAAACAGTTTTACTCTTCATAAATAAAAAGAGACTAGAAAACAAGATAACTAGTGATTTTTCAGAATGTCATTAGACCAAAGTTTTCATTTCATAACACACAAGACAACTATATATTGTGTCCAAATAAAGGTATAACAAGTAGGATTTGTGTATTGAAACACAAAAATTACTTCACATGCCTTAAGGGATAGGTCTCTTCTTTATCAGAAGCCATACTATCATCAAAAGGTTTTAATTCCTAGAAAAGTGGCTAAGTTTGTGCCTCCTTCTAAATCATAATTTCCTTAAGCCATGGTTTGCCGAATTATCATATTTGGCTGGATTCATTCAAGTCAAAGACAAACAAGCTGCATGATAACTTTGTGCAATTTGGGAATCTAATCAGCATATTTAAGTGTGAAACCTCAGTCTTTCTTGATAAATGACTGTCTCACCTTAACGTTAAGAAAGTGATTGGAGTCTTGAGTAATTTTAGTTGTACCTGAACTTTATCTGAGCATTTATATGGGCTGATTTGCACTTCCTGTTTATCACTGCACAAAAACCAGCTGTCAGTCTTTTGAGAAGACAGAATGGGCAACATTAGTCAACCCATAATGATCTCCCTTGAATTATCTTGCTTTCCATAAAAAATTATGTTTTCCTCCTTCTGCTGTTGTTGGAAAGAAGAGAATCATGGGAGAGGAGGATGTGAAAAAGAAAGGCAGTAAAGATAATATTTAATGACCACAAAGCAGCAGTAAGTATAGCCCAGATGTTCTTTTATGAAGTAGCTAGTTAGCATCTATGAGACAAACTTTGTTTAGTCCTTAAGGAATAGTATTACATTTTCTAATCAGTTCTAACTGCTGTTTGGTGCTGAAATCATGATTCCTTTTCTCATTAATTTTTTCCTTGAGACCAGCAGCAAAGTATTCTCAGAGAATTACAGCATACCCATTGATTTTTGAATATTGCATTCATTCTTTTGGCTAGAAATTGGGTTGTCTACTCAAAGCAGTGAGTTATTACTTACAGATGATTGCATATATACCATGTTGAAGGATGGACAGGTAAATGTGCCTCTAACGCTAGGGATACAGTTAATAATTGTAGTCATATCATCAGTAGGTAGGAGGCAGAGTTGAGATCTAGATTCAGCACAGCATCTTTAACAGGGTGAAATAGTCTGTTGCTGCTGGTTAATAGCTGTTTTAAGCAAATAGCAGCTGCCTATAAGCAAATATATGGACCATAACAGGAATGGCTAAAGATCATTTATGGATGTACTTGAATGATTTTAGTTGGGACTTATAGATGATAGAACAGTGGTGGCTAACCTTTTTGGGCTCCTGTGCCAAAAATTGTGCACGCACTTGCACACTCACGCTTGCGTGCCAGCACCCAGAAGGCAATGCCCGCCTCCCCACACCTACGCATGTGCGCACAATCCTCACCCCCCTCCCGGCTGCCCCCTTATCTGCACTGTGCCTCACAGCTGATTTTCAGCCAGTTTCAGTCCTTTTTTGGCCTCCCAGAGGCTTTAGGAAGGCTTCTGCAGGCTTCTGCAAGCTTTGCAGGCCGAAAACTAGCCCCGTTTTGTCACTTCCAGTATTTTTGGAAAAACAGGAAGTGATGAAATGGGGCTAGTTTTTGGCCTGCAAAGCCTGTAGAAGTTTGCAGAAGCCTTCCTTGAGCCTCTGAGGCTGAAAAAGGCATCAAACCAGCCAAAAAACAGCTGTGAGGTGTGCGCATGCCCAATGAGATAAGTTTGCCTGCAGCTCACATGCTGGCACAAATGACTCTGCATGCCACCTGTGGCACGCGTGCCATAGGTTCGCCCTCACAGTGATAGAAGCTGTGTTCTGCAGTTTTCTGTTCTTGGCTGGCTTTTAGTACACTACTTCTTCAGAATCAGAGTAGATGATTTGTCATTTAAATGTAATAAGATAGATATTGTAGCTTAGATATAACTGAATAGAAGTCTCCTGATGATATGTATGCATAGTCTTTCTATTGGTTTTTCTGACAATAATTCAAAAGTCTAGGTTCAGTTTGACGATGGGTAAAAATCATCAAACTTTGCCAGTGCCTCTTTTCCTTTATTTGTGGAACTTTTTTATTACTTCATTATTCACTTCTAGACAGTTTACAGTCAAAATGTTGGCATACAATATATAATAACATAATAAGTATAAACAATGAATAATTCTAGTATGCTGATCCAATATTAAGGTGCTGCATCTTTCTTACAACAAAATCTTATATGTACAAAGGCCTTCTGAATTAATCATGTCTTAACAAGTTTTTGGAAGGCTGTAAGAGAAGGGCTATTTGCTTTCGGGTGCAAGCTATTCCATAAGAGGGGGGTCACCCAAAGAGAGTCCCCACTTGCATTCTTCCTTTTACCAAACATGTTAGTAAATGGGTTTACCCAACACTTATTTTCACGCATATTGGGTTCTATCCAGAATTGCCAATTTCTGTCTTGAATTGCATTTGGAAATTAACTGACAGCCAGTGCATTTCCATAGTAATGGTATTATATGACGGTAATGGGTGAGACTTGTAAGCACATAGGCCATGGCATTTTACACTATTTGAAGTTTCCAGGCGGCTTTGAAGGATAGCTCATGTAGAATAGATTACAGTACACCAGTTGACAAATAGCATTAACACCCATGCCTGTCTTTACTGCATTCTTTTCTATGAATGGCTACAGGTCCATCACAAAAGCTAGATGGCTCCAGTTCTAATATCATTCTAGAAAAAGGGTAGGGTATTCAGCAAACCAAATTTGTCAGATGATTTATTTTCCATATAGTAATTTTTAAATTCATTTTATTGCATTTATTTTGATAGTGTGAACAGCTCTGAATTGGTATGGAGTCAGGCAATACCAAAGTGAAAATAAGTACAATAAAACATTTTTTCGCTTGTACCACTTGAATAATTTCTAATGATCCTTAACATTGGCTTTGCTTACTAGTAATTTGCCAGTACTGCAATAATGGAAATAAAACAAATGCACTAGAATTGCCTATTCTGGAAAATAACATAAAAAACTAAAGAATGTTAATAATTTTCTATTCATGAATTACTAAAAGCATTTGCTCTGTACATTCTGCTTGTGGTAAACATACATGTGCAAAATATAAGCAAGGTAAACCAAGCCTGGTTTATATGATCTCAAAAACTGTAATGACAAGGAAAAAACAAATTTTGTTTAAGGGAATAATATTTTCAGTTTCATTGGTAAGACAAACGGAGATTATAATTAAGAATCCTGGAGAACCAAATAATTTGGCTAAAATGATTAAAAAAATTTAAACAGCCAACCCTTATAATTAGCTTAACTTCCAGGTAACATAATTTTATAGCAATCCTTCAAATAAATATTAAAACTACTGGTGTCAATAGCAGAAATAAAGATCATGGATGTGCTTTCTATCAGGCTCAGAAAAGTATGGGAATTGTATTTCAGTTTTGCTGCATGTAGAACCAGGTTGTAATGTCAGTTTATATTTTAAGCAGACAGAGAATTGGGGAAAAATTAATAAAGCAAATAAGTGAGAAAAAATAAAATTTAAATTTGAATTAAGTGCCCAAATAAAGTGTTGATAGGAAGAAGAAAAAATAGTTTGTAAAGAATCTAGCAAGTTGCTATAGAGCAATTTCTTTGTTTAGTTATTCTGCAGTAAAGGATAACAATTATGTAGATTGAGAAATCATGTTCTTCCCAGGCACAAAAAATCAAAAGTGTGAAACATAATTTTTTTGAAAATGAGAATAAACTAGGAAGGTGGCTGGCATATAAGCTGAAAAAAGAGAAGGAAAATAACTGATATATCGACTAATAGATGAGAAAGGAATCCTTTATTACCAAAATGAGGATAAAAAATAATAATTCAAGAGTATTACGGGAAACTGTATGACCAGGAGAAAATCCCAGAAAATAGAATAAAACAATACTTGGAACAATCTGAACTTCCTGAAGTACCCAAAACAGTTAAGGTTATGTTGAATGAACGAATAACTATGATGGAATTGACAGAAGCGATTAAGAGATAAAAGAATAATAAAACTCCAGGGCCAGCTGGGCTACTGGCAGAATTTTATAAACATTTACAAGAAACATTAGGCCCAGTTATGTTGGAAGTTTACAATGAAGTTCTGCTAGAAGTGAAAGTACCAGATTCGTGGATGGAGGCAAATATTACTCTCATACTGAAAGATGATTCAGATTTAATGCAGATAAAGAATTATAAGCCAATGTCCTTATTGATTGTGGACTATAAAATATATGCTTCAATAAGATTGAAGAGATTAAAAAGGGTTTTGAACGAATTTACACATGTAGATCAGATTTTTGCCAAAGAGGCAGGTTAAAAACAATATGAGAATGATTTTAAACATATTGGAGTATTATGAAATACATCCTGAAAAACAAATAACTTGATTTTTCTAGAGACACCGAAAGCATTCGATAACATTAATTGGCAATTTATGTTATTGCAATTAAAATGCATGGATAAAAAGAAACGACAAAAATATTAGTTAAAAATCTTACAGATACAGAGAAAAGAGTGCTGATGGAAAAAACTGATATACAGATAGTCAAGGAAGTAAAGTACTTAGGGGTACAACTAACAGCAAAATGTGCAATGATTAAAGAGGATAATTATATGAACTGATGCAACAAATCAAATTAGATTTAGACAAATGGAAAAACTTGCAATTATCATTGACAGGAAGAATAGCTATTATAAAAATGAATATTTTACCAAGATGATTATAATTTATTTCAAACAAGTCCAATAAAGCTGGGGGAAAATATTTTGAAGAATTAAATAAAATAATATTAAAATACATTTGGCTAGGGAAAAAAACAAGAATAAGTCTGGAAACGTTGCAAGACTCCAAAAAAAGTGGGGGCTTTGGGTTGCCAGATTGGGAATTGTATTATTTTTATGTGTTACATAAATAAAAAATAAAAAATAAAAAAAGAAATTATGTTCATTTCTTTCATTTCCAGAGATACTCAATGGTGCTGTTTTTGATGAAGACCATGATGAGATAGTTATCGTAAAGGGCATTGATATGTTTTCTCTTTGTGAACATCACTTGGTTCCTTTCTTTGGCAAGGTAATGACAGTGGAAACTTTGACTCACATTGACTCATATTGAATTCTATGTCCATAATCTTGAACCATATAATCAGTGGAACAAATTTGTTGCTTTCTGTAACATGCCTTGCATAATAACTGAGTAATAATCCATTTTACTAATTTTCTGCAGCAGTATCAGCAGTATTTTTTCCAGATGAAATTAATAGGCTTCTGCTAATTTAGCCAGTTACATATTCAGCTTCTTCTTCACTGTAATGCTGAGAAATTGAATGTAGAGTGCAACAGTAAATGTGGATGGAAAACTGATTTCTAAGTTCAACTGAAAAAAATACTCATAGTATGAAATACAGGTAGTCTTGGACTGAATATTAATACATTAATGCATATATTAATAATTCTTCATCTTCCTTTAATATCTGCAGGTACACATTGGATATTTACCAAGGAAAAAAGTAGTTGGATTAAGTAAACTTGCAAGGTATTTATTACTCTTCTTCTTAGTAATAAATCACTATTTTATATTATGGATTCAATAAGGCAACAGTAACAGATATTTTACATTAAGGTATGTGAGTGTGTCTGGTTTTCTTTCTAAGAAATAGCTATTAGATACGACAGTTGTTTGAAATATCCATAAAGGTAAACGAGTGTAGACACTGGGAAGGAATACTGTACTTCGCACAACACTTCATCATACACAACTATTTCATAGTTGAACTATGAAATGAACTGTCACCGATGATAGATGATAGCCATGCAATTGCAGGAAAAGATGGAGCTGCTTTAAGGAATAACTGGCAGTTGATGTTTGAGCACCCATGTTCTCAGAAGTACCATTTCTCCTATGAATTTGAAGAACTTGTATAGCCCAACTGTGAACAGCCTTATTCTTTACCCATTTTCAAACACTCATTCATTCAGGCAAATTCTTGAAGTGAACTATTGTGTCATTATAGGGAATTTTAAACATTGAAATTACAGCTATCAGCTGGCAGGAACCAGGAGAAATATTGATGCGTTTTAACTCTGTACTTCCAAAAACATGGTTGGATATTTCACATGGAGATATCACCGAGGTAAAAATAATTGATGACTGTTATTGAGATCAATTTATAAACAAACTTAATCACTTTCTGATTTGCATTTCCATCAATGCCACCTCCCTATCTCATTAGTGCATCTTTTTTTCCCCTTTTTCCAGAATTGTTGAAATGTTTAGCAGAAGGCTCCAAGGTTAGTACTTTTTCTGGCACTGTGCTCTTCTTAATACATTTTTCAATTCAGGATTGGCTAAATGCAGACCAGGACCCATTGACAGTTCTCTGGAAAAGATCATCAGCTTCATCTGACCAGGAGAAAGGCTCCATTCTCCCATTGGCCTGTTTGGAGGGAAATCCAGAAGCTGATCTGTGTGCATAAGAAACTGAAAACTCAAATTTTCATTCCAAAAGCAAATAACTTAGGCAGGACATAAGCTTGTGCTACCCGTGGCAAAGGTTCTAGGGATTTTTGATTTTTGTATTGATTTTATTGTTTTGTGTTTTATTATTGGTAGCCACCCATAAATATATGTGCCACAGAATGGGAGATCAGTATAAGTTGTTTAAATAAATAATTATTTTTATTGAAAAACTCAAAATTTGTGATAACTACTGAAATAGACAATTCGTTTCCATGCACAAAATGTGCAAGAAGGGAAGTCTTCCCTTCACAGTTATCTCTTTTATTTATTGAATAAGTTTGCATTTACTGTCTCAATTCATTCTGATGAATATAATTTTTCATAAAGTACTGATTGATTTCTAGTCCAGGAGCGACTTACAAAACAGATTGCTTTAGCAATTACTGAGGTTCTGAAACCTGTTGGAGTGGCTGTGGTGATAGAAGCTTCGTAAGTTCATCATTCCTTGTTTGATTTAGTTGAGTTTGTAATTCTTTCCCTCTGCTGTAAATTATTTATTTTCCATTTCCTTTTCAATACTATTGAAAAGTAATGCAATAGCACTTTGAAAGCATAGAAGTACAGGAATAGAAATATATAGTACTATGTGTATTCAATGAGACCAATTTTGTGTCAAAGTGTGTAGCCTGGTATTACCATGCAATCCAGATGTTCCTTTTTCACAATTGATCTTGCTTCATGTGGTGCTCCTTCACTGAAGGAAAACACTTTGATCCAGAATAGGCTTCTATCATGGAAATGAGATTATTGGGGGCAATTATCCCTTCTTTATTATTACACCTGACAATGAGAAAATAAGTCGCCTGAGAATGACCTCCGTTGACCTCTGTCAAACTCAATTTTGTTTTTAAGTAGTCCTTCATATGAATTGTAGTGTCACCAAGATACTGTAAATTTCCAAGAATATGTAGATTTTTAAAAAATGACGTAACGTTGATGCTCTCTGAGCTGGCTTGTTTTCTTCCAAACATTTCATTACCCAAACTAGGTAATATCATCAATGCTAGTTTGAGTAATGAAACGTTTGCAAGAAAACATCAAGGACAGACCCCTCATGTCAACCCTGAGCTATAGATATTCTCCTTTATTTTTTAAAAATGTTTTATATTAGGAAGATTATTAGAATAAATGCATGCTTCTACATTTTGGGATAATGTAGTCCTAGAATTTATATTTAATTTTGTTATTGGTATTATTTTTTTAAAAAATCAGACTTGTATTAAGGATTTTGAGGCTTGAATGCTATTGCATTCACCGTGTTTGCTAATGTTCTAAAAATGCTTCTTTTAACGTTTTTTTTTGACAGACACATGTGCATGATCATGAGGGGGGTTCAGAAAATGAACAGCACAACAGTCACTAGCGCTATGCTTGGCATCTTCCAAGAAGATTCAAAAGCAAGGGAGGAATTTCTTGCCTTGATCAAGAATTAAAGAGCAGCAGCTTGCAGTTACATCAATGGTTTGGAGCATACACAACTGATTATTATAATTGCCTTATGTGAGCCATTGTTTTTGAAGCTGGATAATTAGAAAAAAGAGAAGACAGAGTTCATAATTGTATCACAGCTTTGTTCCCATTTTTGCATATAATACCTTTTATAGCCTTCTACAATTGGCTCCTTTGGGAATGGCACTCCTAGCACTTCTGAGGTGTGTAAATTTGAGGGAAAACATTCAAGAATTGAATGGTGTTTTTTTTTTTTGAAATATTACCCAGGCAGTGCAGATAACAATAAATTGGTTTTATTCATATGGCAGCATATATAATGTGATCACACATATCTATTTGCATCTTTTGATATACGCAAATGAGAATCAAGTACAAGACCTATCCTGCTTTCCAAATAAAAATGATATAAGATCTGCTTTCCCAACCCGAAGCCCATCAGAGATACTAGACTTTAAATCCCATATTGTTTTAGGATTAAGGGAGTTAGTCCAAGCATCTGGAGGATACTAGTTGGGGAAGGCTGGTTTTGGTACTTTCAGTTTGGAAGTTTGGATAGTGAGATTAGGGGAGACATATGGCTCCAGTGATATCGTTCTGCTAACAAAACCACGGAGAGAAAAATAAACGATTGCAAAATAGTAAAACTAAAAAACATAAATCTCATGCAGGGCATTTCTCTGTTGTTATAATTCCTTAAATTTCACAGAGCTATCTCTAGCTTGCAGTTATTGTTACTCAGTGGTGGGATTCAAATTTTTTTACTACCAGTTCTGTGGGCATGGCTTGGTGGGCATGGCAGGGAAAGGATATTGTAAAATCTCCAGTCAAAGGTGGTATTTGCTGGTTCTCCGAACTACTCAAAATTTCCACTACTGATTCTCCAGAATTGGTCGAATGCTGAATACCACCTCTGTTGTTATTCTTTTTTTTTTTTTACAGAAGGCCACAAGAATGTTGCTGTCCTAAAAAGTTCCACTTTTTAGGGGATCAAGGGCAAGATGTTTATTCTTGGCAATTTATAATCTAGAAAGAGATATTAGAGAAATATTAAAGCAATAAAGCCAATTTATTTCAAAGCCATCTAGTTAAAAGACAAATGCTATTATTTCATATTCCATGCAAAGAAACTGATTAGGCAGGACCCAGTATTTCCCTGGCTAAACAGAACCATATGTTAATATGGTGCCTTACAATATTAAAACAAAACAAAAGCAGCCAAATATCTACTAAAATGGGAGGGAAAAGCCTAGAACCTATTGATTTATATAAGGGTTTTATTTCATGTGTGCTGCACTATCTGTGGTTTTATTTTTTTCCTGAATAAAAAGATTAATCATGCCAAGTCTCCAAAAAAAAGGGGTATTTGGATTGCTGAGACCTCTATGCCTGGTAAAATGTTATTTATTTATATATATATATATATATTAGATGATCCATCCATTTCTTCAATACGATAGGGCTGATTAAAAAGGTCTTTGATTTAAGACCTTGATATAATGACTTCAAATATGAAAAAAAGAGCAGGGCAAAACATTTATTTTGTAAGTAAATCATCCCAAGTGCAACATGTTCAGTGTAAACATCAGATATTAGGCAAGAAGCATTTTCTCTGTTTGAGACTGGAAAGGTGTTATAATATACAGTATTTCGCTAAATGGATAATAATCTGCCTTGAATAAGGCAACTTTCTAGTCTTGGTAACTTCCAGACATACCGATTACACCTACTATCAGCCTCATTGGTCAACACTGATGGGTGTTGAGGTCCGAGTTGTTATATACACTGCTCAAAAAAATAAAGGGAACACAAAAATAAGACATCCTAGATCTGAATGAACAACAAAATCACACAAAAATTATCAATGGAAATCAAATTTAGTAACCCATGGAGGTCTGGATTTGGAATTACACTCAAAATTAAAGTGAAAAAAAAAACACTACAGGCTGATCTAACTTTGATGTAATGTCCTTAAAACAAGTCAAAATGAGGCTCAGTAGTATGTGTGGCCTCCATGTGCCTGTATGACCTTCCTACAATGCCTGGAGATGCTCCTGATGAGGTGGCAGATGGTCTCTTGAGGGATCTCTTCCCACACCTGGACTAAAGCATCCCCCAACTCCTGGAAAGTCTCTGGTGCAACGTGGAGTTGGTGGATGGAGTGAGACATGATGCCCCATATGTGCTCAATTGGATTCAGGTCTGGGGAACGGGCAGGCCAGTCCATAGCATCATTGCCTTCATCTTGCAGGAACTGCTGACACACTCCAGCCACATGAGGTCTAGCATTGTCTTGCATTAGGAGGAACCCAGGGCCAACCGCACCAGCATATGGTCTCACAAGGGGTCTGAGGATCTCATCTCGGTACTTAGTGGCAGTCAGGCTACCGCTGGTGAGCACATGGAGGGCTGTGCGGCCCCCTAAAGAAATGTCACCCCACCATTACTGACCCACTGCCAAACTGGTCATGCTGGAGGATGTTGCAGCAGAACATTCTCCACGGCATCTCCAGACCCTGTCACATCTGTCATATGTGCTCAGTGTGAACCTGTTGTCATCTGTGAAGAGCACAGAGTGCCAGTGGTGAGTTTGCCAATCTTGGTGTTCTCTGGCAAATGCCAAACATCCTGCACGGTGTTGGGCTGTAAGCACAATCCCCACCTGTGGATGTCGGGCCCTCATACCACCCTCATGGAGTTTGTTTCTGACAGTTTGAGCAGCCACATGCACATTTGTGGCCTGCTGGAGGTCATTTTGCAGGGCTCTGGCAGTGCTCCTCCTGTCCCTCCTTGCACAAAGGCAGAGGTAGCGGTCCTGATGCTGATGTTGCCCTTCTATGGCCTCCTCCACGTCTCCTGATGTACTGGCCTGTCTCCTGGTAGCGCCTCCATGCTCTGGACACTACACTGACAGACACAGCAAACCTTGCCACAGCTCACACTGATGTGCCATCCTGGATGAGCTGCATTACCTGAGTCACTTGTGTGGGTTGTAGACTCCGTCTCATGCTACCACTAGAGTAAAAGCACTGTCAGCATTCAAAAGTGACCAAACCATCAGCCAGAAAGCATAGGAACTGAGAAGTGATCTGTGGTCACCACCTGCAGAACCACTCCTTTATTGGGGATGTCTTGCTAACTGCCTATGCTTTCCACCTGTTGTCTATTCCATTTGCACAACAGCATGTGAAATTGATTGTCAATCAGTGTTGCTACCTAAGTGGACAGTTTGATTTCACAGAAGTGTGATTGACTTGGAGTTACATTGTGTTTAAGTGTTCCCTTTATATCTTTGAGCAGTGTATGTTCTTCCAATACTAAGCTGTTTCTATACTGATGGGCAGGGCAGATCTTTGGTCTAATTTTACATTATGATTTCTTTTGTTCACAGTTCCACATATTATTGACTGACCTCCACAATTACGGTAGCTATTATTTATAGTCTTCTCTATATAAAGGTTTTAAGGGTAGGCTTGTTCAGGAACTTCAGACCATGCATTGGTTCTAGGTTTAATGTTCCAGTTTAGGAGTGTATGAGAATCTAAATAAATATATAATTTGTAAAATGAGAGATTGGTCATTTATAGTGGCATACATACTTCCCTCATTGATGTCAAAAGAATACATCTGCCTTTCACGAAGATTGTTTTTATTAGCCGCTTAAACTATTGATTTAGGATTAAGAAACCTTGGGAATTATAGAAGGATGCTAAGAATTTTTGAAAGAGTGAATGACTTCAGCACATTTAAAGAATTATTTTGAATCTACCACGATACATTTTGAGTTATGCTACATCGTTAATGCAAATCTAGGTCATTCTAAAGTCACCCATTCATTCAACCAAGTGAAATTCAACTTTTCAAATATTGTACAGCTGGGCTGTCAAGCTGGATTTCTTTGATCAGCATTGTAGTCCTCTGCGGGCTGGTGGGGGGTGGTGGACAGGGAGCAGGGATGGATGGGACAGACATCTCCTGTAGTACTCTACCAGCCAAAACGGGCCACATGGAGACATGTTTTGTAGCTCTACAACAGGGGCATCAACTCAAGGTCCATGGGCCAGATCTGGGCCATGGGGTACTTAATCTGGCCCGGAAATATCAATGGTATCTCTGCTGACCAAAATGGGCCACTGGGACGTGTGAGGCCCTCATGTGGCCCATTTTCAGCCTCCACGGCCTCCTGCAGCACACTCTTCTGGCCAAAAATCAGCCATGCAAAGGCCCTGTGAGTGCCCCTGTGTGGCCTGTTTTTGGCCTCCACCGTCTCCAGCAGCACTCTGCTGGCCAAAAATGGGCATGTGGGGGCCTCATGAGGGCCCATGTGGCCCATTTTGGCTGGCAGAGGTACCGCCGGCCAATCCTTTGATATTTCTGGCCCAGCCCATGAACCTTGAGTTGACACCCCTGTTGTAGAGCTACAGTGTTTATGTTAAGAATGTAAGAATCAGACTGGATCAGATTTTTTTAAAAAAAAAAAAACCTGTCTTGTCCAGCTTTTCCCCCCCACAGTAGTCATCCAGATATATTTGTAGAGGCCATCAGTGGAACATGAGTGCAATAGCATCCTCTCACATGTTATTGAACAAGTGTTGGGAAGGATATTCCTTCATGGTTTGGAGATATCTCCTATGCTACTGTGCTCAGGCAGAATGACTAAATAGTTAGCAATCCTGAGCACTTTTAATCTTGGAGATAAATTTGGGAAGCAAGATTGTGCTAGTATCGTTTTATACTAAGAACAAGTAGAAGGAAACTTGTCATACTGTATACCTTAGAAGACACAAAGGTCCTCGAAGACATATTGGAGAATGCTGAATATCAATTTTTGGTTTGAAAAGTTTTCAACTGCAGTTACTTTTTGTACAATGGCATTTAAAAAACAACAACAGTAGGAACAAAAATAGTAAGGATTTTTGCTGCCCCCATTTTGACCTTTGAGCTATAAAGTACTGTAAACATTACTGTATTGTCCTCAGAAAAACTGTCATACAACTTGAAATGTGCCTTATAGACTCCAATAACTTAAATATGCAAAAAATGTTGACATTTCCTAAATGCAAAACTGTGTTGTCTGTGGAAAGGGAGGGGGCTATATATTTTTACAATTTACTCACTAGAGGGATAAAGGGCTAATGTGTTATATTGTGATTTTTTAAAAAGGGTGTCTGCCTGCATAGCCACACATCAGGAACTGCATGTTAGCAGCAGAAACACTTGTCCCATTCATAAAAGTGAGGCCCTCTCTTTTTTCAGTTAGCTACCAAGTTCTTTAAAATAGTTTTATTATGATTGTGTCAAAGTGGTGCTAAAATACACATAACTACTTTATTTATGACATCAGATTCTTGCATGTATTAAAAGTTTGTAATACAAAACCTACTTTACATTTCTGCTTGATTTGTCATATTTAAAAATATAGTTTATTAAACAGTGCTGTTGTATTCAAACGATAAAAAAAAATCTTGTCCCATATTGCTGTTTCCTTGACTCTTATTTTTAGCTGTATTATATTATTATTAGATTAAATAAGCATAAGATCAAATCAGTTAAGTGCAATTTTATTGCAGGATGTTTCTGTACAATTTGTACAGACTTAAACAAATTAGTCTACAAAGAAGCCTCTGAATCACCAGACCATGGCATACGGCAGATAGACCCTTGGTACCACCTTGCACCTGTAGTATTTCCTTTCTCAACGGCGTATATATAAACACGATTTAAGTAAGATTTTTTTTTGCCAAACTGAGGAGCAGGTCCAAGTCTTTCTAAATCTTAAGTGAATAATTTAATTATTTTGTTTTTAAATTTTATTTTATTGTACCCAGCAGAATAATGCATATTTCCGTCTCCCTTTCAATCTCAGAACAACCTCTGAGATAGGTTAGCTTGCAAAATGGCTGTTATATCTGAATGAGGATGTGAACATAACTCTGCCCATTACCAAACCACCTCTCCACTCTAACCATTAGATTGCACTATTGTTATTCTTCCTCTTCCCAGTTCATATTAAAATTGCTTCCTCAAGCCAGCAATGCAAATATTAAAACTGAGTGTCCTACTCAAGGTATGATGAAGATTCTAAAACAGAGGGATTTTATGATAAACAGACTGATTTAGATAAGATTTTGACAGGTACTGATGAAAAGGTGATTAAAAAACTATATGGTTATTTATTGGGAATTAAGCTAGAGGAAGAACAAGTTAAAGAAACTATGATTGCTTGGGAGAGGAATTTTGGATATGGGATTGATTTAGAGAAATGGCAGAAAATTCATATATGATACACATGTTCAAAATAAAAGGATGACTACCAACCATACAGATTTAAGCCATTTTAGCTAAATTAGCTAAGCTGAGCAGACCATGTCTTCAATGTAACTGAACATTATGTTTCATTAAAATTCACGTTAACCCTAATAAATACATATGTATAGGTGGTGTGGCAAAAACCAGGCTCACTTAAAATAACCAAATCACACTGAAGATACAACATAGATTTATTAGCATAAAAACAGTAAAATAATATACATTGAACTCATGTCCCAGCTGGGCAGACTTGACCAAAAGCAGAATCGTAGCCTATATGCCTTTGACGACTTACATTTCAAACATAAGGAAAGGGGAAAAGGCACAGGATAAATTGGGTAGGTGACTTTGGGCCAGGCATTTTCTCTCAGCCAACCCACCTCACAGGGCAGCTGTTGTGGGGAAAATAGGAGAAGGGAGGTGTGTTGGATATGTTCTCCACCTTGAGTTATTTCTAAAATTAATAATAAAGGCAGGATACAAATAAATAAAATGATACTGGAATGTTTTTGATGAACCCATCTTTGTAACATTTATAACTTCCTACTAGGTTGGTATGCTGGTTATACTACTTTTGAAATATGGTCTGTAAAAATAAACAATTTGGTTTAGTGTCTGATTCTTCCCATTACTATTCAGAATCAATTTTGCTTGCTGGAAATATTTTTTTACAAGGTATTGGTTGGGGATGAGGGAATCCCATAGGTTTGGTATTGAATGCAACTCATATCTGGTGTGTGGGGAGTATATTTATTAGTTGACAATTATATCCTATGGTTCAGTTATTGGCATCAAAGTTAAATAGAGTATTCATATGGGTTATCCATTTTTAAGATATTCAACTCAAAGGGGCATTTTGTTGGCCCCAGAGCCATTGGTGTTTGTGAAAATTAAAAACCAATGATATGGGCACCAGGATAGATCCTCTAAACAATCAAAATTAATACTATCACAATAAAAATTTCAACTTAATAAAAGCTATTAATTAAAACATGATTAAAATTATAGTGATTGCCCCTTTTTAATGATTTCTTTAAAATTTGACATTGCACCTACAATTTGGCAGAAAAAAAATCAAACCAATACAACTCTATCCAGTTCAGTCATGTAGCCTACAGGCCAGTGTAATTCCCTCTGCAATTAAAAACTTGCTTGTTTTTTTCAACAGATAAAAATGCACAAACATATTAACCATCAGATATTGTAGAAATGTATATAAGAGACTAACAAAATAAAATCCAGAATACGAATATAACAAATTAGGAACTCTGCATTCTTTAACAAGTAATACCTCTATACTAATTGTACCTAATCAAGCTAGATATTTATTTTAAAAATATTAATGCTATCTTAAATTTAAGCTATATTAAAAATGTCTATTTATGTAAAAACAATTATCAATCAAGGTACAGTATTTATGTGCAACCAATCCAGCAGAATGACATTCAATGCTCATGTACTGTTATTTGCAAGCCTTTGTTGCAAGGAATTCTAGTATGTAACACAAATGAATTGAACCTGCCTATTGCTGTAATTGGATTGCCAAAACTACACAGTATTATATTTAAATTTTCAATTATCCTATAAAACATCATATGCCAATTTTATTGAGAGTTTGCTGGTATGTTCAGCAATCCTTATTCTTGATGTAACAGTAGCTTAGTTGTTGGAAAAGTTAAATTATCTACTACACACTTCATTTTTTCTAAAATAATTATGGTGAACAAATATTTCTTACTCCAAATAAATATAGCCATTAATGCAGATTTAAATTTAGATCTAAGATAGCACAATTGTCCCATGCAAGTTCTCTAGAAGTCTGCCATCGTATTATCAGTAATGATATTTAGCGATTGATTCAAAGTTCAAAGTGGGTCAATTTAAAAAAAAGCATAATAATTAAACTGATGTTTGCTTGTAGTTTTTTGTATCCAAGACTTTCTTTCCACACATTGCACAGATACCTGTTAATAAAAAGCACAGGAATACTGAAATTACTTTTGATCATCCAGGATAACTTATTTCTCAGTGACCAAATACACTTTAAAGGGAAGAAACTGGGTTTAGGGCAAATATTTCACCTTTTTTGTATGCACATCCCTGGCAGTAATGAGAGCCTGGCTGATGAACTGAACTTTTACAAATCCGGCATATTGCAAATTTGTTTTTGCCGTAAGGATCAAATCTAAGAAGATAAAAACAAGTGTATTAGCTGTTTATCAAAATGATTTTTGTTTACTTTCATGTATTTGCAGTAAATGGGGTCAGAGGGAGGCGGTCACAAATCCCCCAAGAAAGCTAATAAATGACCCAATAGTGTTTGTCACTTTGAACTATCACTATATATTTGCACAACAATAATATATATATATATTGTAACAACAATATATATATAATATATATATATATTGTTGTGCATATATAAATTATTCATGTGTCCATGTTTTTTCTTATACCTTTTCTTTTCTACCTAGGCTCAATCAGACCATATGACATATGCATGATAATTTCCCAGTCTTTTATTTAGTTGTTCAGTGTCTTACAAAATTACCATGATCTACCCCAGTGTTTTTAAACTTGGCAACTGTAAGATGGGCTTCAGGGAATTCTGAGAGTTGAAGTCCACACATCTGAAAGTTGCCAAGTTTGAAAAACACTGATTTAGCCATTGCTCTTCAGGATGCAGTGATATTGGCAAAGAGTTACAGGTGCTAAAAGTACAGTGCAGTGGGAAAAACTTCTATGCCAACTCTAGGCTGTAAGAAGTAGGAGTGACTATATGTGGAAATAGGAAAGAGACTAAAATTCAGAAGAATGAATAAGCAAGTTCACAATTTTTCCAGCATTTGATTCATTTGGTAAGTGAATTAAGATTTTAATTACCTTGCCTTTTTTGACGTCAATGCCTTGTTTTCATTTAATTTTCTCCCACCACTTTCTATAAATAAAAACATAATTTTGAAATCACTTCAAATTAAAGTTGAAGCCATTAAAAAGAAAAATGAATGTCCAGAATACTCAGCAATAAACATGAAAATGAGCAAGACATCCTAGGAATGCTGAATTTTTTTCCAACCACATCTTAATCACGTCCTTTTATTTTTTTACTACCACCTAACTACTTGTGAGACTGATCTACCATTAGATAAGTAAGACTTCTACATATACAATGGGATTTTGTCTTTCTTCTGCATCTACATAAGTCCACAAATCTTTTCTCCTAAGTTTTAAGAATGTATATGAACTGAAGGAATTTTGTTTCGATTCAGTATGACATATCCCTAGATACAACATTTTGCATTAATCTTCCTTCCACAATTTAATAATTTCTGTGATTGGTTTTTCCTTGCTAATCTCAGTAGTAGATCCTGTTCTTTTTAGCAATTTGAACAACCAAAACAGAAAGTGTACGTTGCTAAAGATCAAAGCAGAACTGTGGGGGAGTCAAATTCATTTAAAAACTACTTCAAAACAGGAAAATAACTAAAATCAGGACATTGTGTATCTGTAGGATATTTAACAGGTTTTCATAATCTAATATGATTAAGAATGCTTGCATCATAGGACATGTAATATTGCTATCAATATTTGTACAACCAGAAGTCTAATGCAGATCTAAATTTTGTGATATTTAAGAATACCTGTTGTGTTTCTTGCACCATCTTTCCAGGTATCAGGTGTAATTACTATACCAAGTTTTCTTTCACCTATGGAGTAGCATTGAAAAGACAGAATAAAAATTATGATAATATAATAGATTACAACAGCACAATATATTCAGGTCAGGTCATCTTACAGAACTGATAATAATACAAATATTAGTAATACGAAGTACCACATTCCATGTAGCTTATTTTTTCTATAACTATAACTCAAGGAAACTTGAAAACCATTGAAGATACATGGAATTTATAAAATCTGTCCTCTGACTCTAGAAATTGCTCTTAGGGATTTTGTTAGTTTTTGATGCCAATACATGTTTTTAAAGCTGTGAGGTATTGATTCTTCTAAACACAGTAGAGATTACTTATCAATAACTATAAACAGCTCTCTGACAAATAACTACAAGAAAATATGATTAAATGAAAACAGGACATAAATATAAAAATAACAAATGTAAATGTAAACAAATAGTAGTTTGCAGATTTTGAGGCTTACTGGTATATAGCAAATTGATATATGTAAACAACGATAGTTTGGGATCTAGATTTTTTAATGCATATCTTATTATATATTAATAACATTAATATTATTTTGAGTAAAAAATCTTATAGTCACTACAGTGTAATTATCTAGTTACCATAACCTTTGTGTAGTTAAGTTGTAGGAATGGTAAAACTGTAACCCTACACCACTACACAATCCTTTGGGTTAAGAAAAGTTGTATTGATAACCTTGAATCTTGGTTTTGAAATGAGCTCAGCTGGTATCTTTCAGGTTCAGTTCTCTTTTTCCGATCTACATTATGAATTCTGTAACTAATAATCCCCAAAGCTGACAAAAAACTATAGCATAACAAACCTCTCCTACTGTTGTACCTGGTCAATACATTCTAGGTGTTTTGTTACCAGTGATTTTCAGAACAGCTGTCATTGCTAGGATTTACTGAAAATTTTACAGTATTCACTATTTGGGGGATCAAAACATCCAATAAACAGCAACCTTCAAGACACTTGCCCCTTTAAGTCACTTTTAAATGCTTTGAACCCTCATTCATAGTATATTCATAACAATAGTGTTACTGTACACCTCCAAACACAACAATCTGAGTCATGTGTACTCACAGACCCAAATCGTACTAAGTGCACTCAGGACGGCAACCTAAAAGCAGCTGTCCCAAAATTTCTGATGTAAGTATCACACAAAGAAGTAAATCCTTGGCTTTTACAGCAGGCAGCCCTCCGATTTTGCTTGGGACACTGATCTGAGTATCTGCATTAGATAGTGTCATCGACGCAATGCGCCTGAATTTGGGCAAAGCCCGGGAGACAGTGGAGGATTTTGCGTGTGTGTGTGTGTGTGTGTGTGTGTGTTGCTATGGTCCATAGGTTCGTGAAGAGTCAGATAACGACTGAACAACAACAACAAATGATTTGAACACTCTAGGTCCCGACTCCTTCAGACATACAACTAGATTTCCTTACTCGGGGGGGCGGGGGGGGGAGTAACTGTTCCTTGAACCCAAAATAGAAGCGTCTGTCAACCCGAATTTTACCCCTTTCTCAGGAAGGGGCAGCTTCCCCCCTTCCAAAAAAAAAAATCCCTGTACCTGTTAAAGGAACCTTCTCACTTTACACCGCCCGTTCTCCCACCGTCACCCGTCCCTTCAACTCACACTTCTCGCACACCATGACGAAGGCCTAAAACACCAACCGAAGCCGGCGAAAAACAACAGCAACCGTCAGCAGCCAGCCGGGAGGAGCTCGAACTTCCCCACCACCACAGCAACAACAACAAGGTTCCACGGCCGAACCTCCGTGAGCCTCCACATTTCCGCTTCCGCTTTCCTCGTGACGTCCAGGGCATGAGAGCGCCTTCGCGAACAGGCCGGTGGACTGCCGTACGGAAGTAGTCATGACGTAAGAGCCTGCGGGAGAGGGAGGGGTGGGTTGCGTGAGGAGCGCGGAGGTTGTTTCTAGGTGGGTGGGTGACGTATTTTCGAAGCTTCCCCTCATAGCATTCTGGGAAGCGGCAGGTAAGCTGGATCGCCGCCGTTGCCTCGGAAGCCTTGTCTCCTGCCTGTCCTATAGGGCAGGGGTCTTCAACCTTAGCGACTTTAAGCCTGGGGCTTGGCTGGCTGGGGAATTCTGGAAGTTGAAGCCCCCCAGGTTTAAAGTCGCCAAGGTTGAAGACCCCTGGGGGCTACCTTGCGACCACCTGCCTCGATATTTTTCCGGATAGCAGCCTCCTAAAAGCCTGCACGCAGGTGAAGGAAGGGAAACTGGGAGAGACTTTTATGTCCTTATTGGTCCTCTGTTGATTGCAAGTCCCTTGCACATTTTCACCCACTTCCTGGCCGATCGATGCTAGGAAAAATAGCTTATTTAAGCTTTGTTTAAATAACTTAAACAAACCTTGCAAAGGCTGGCCTGAGTCTGTTGTTACATCCTCTAACCATCATTCCTTTACCCTCAGACTAACCTCTATTGAGCCATTCCTAAGAGGTCTGTAAGGGGCGTGCATAAGCGCACAATCGCGCCTACTGTCCCTGTCCTATTGTCCCCAATTATTACTTCCTATTTCTTATATTTAAACTTGCTTATTCTTGTTTCTGTTATATTGTATGCTTTTGACAAATAAATAAATAAAATAAAAATAAATAATAAGTACCTTTCGGTACTCTGTTGGGAATCAAAACCTCAATTCAAATTGAGGTATAGTTCTCAATTTACGACCACAGTTGAGCTCAACATTTACGTTGCTAAATGAGAAATTTCTTAAGTGAGGTTTGCCCCGTTTTATGACTTCCTGTGCCACATTTGTTAAGTGAATTGCTGCTGCTGTTAAATTAGTCACAGGGTTGTGAAGTCAGTCTGGTGTCCCCGTGGACTTTGCCTATCAGAAGGTTGCAAAAAGTGATTATGTGTCCACAGGACAGTACAATCTTCATAAATGGGAGTCAATTGTCAAGTATCCAAATGTAAATCATGTGACAGTGGGGATGCTGTAACAGTTATAAGTGTGAAAAATGGTCATAAGTCACTTTTTTCAGTGCTGTTGTAAGTTCGAATGGTCACTAAGCAAACTGTTGTATCTGTTGCCGAGGTCTACCTGTATCTGTGGGTGTATCTGTTAGGCTCCATTCTTCACTGGTGCAGGTTGCTTGGAAGGAGATCAAATCTGAACAGTGACTCAGAGAGATACATTCTTTTTCTGAGGATTTATTTATTTATTTAGCATATGGCAAATACATGGACTTATTGTAGTTCAGATGTTAAAGCTCTTGATGGACATTCCAACACAATGTGATGGATATTTTGTTGAGGAGCACTACAGTCACACTGAGGGGTAGCAACAAGACCCCTCTGAGACACTCCTCCCCCCGGCTTTCTGAGAGTAAAAGAGGATGTATCTCTACTTCCAGTTCTCTTCATTGGAATCGAGGTGTTTGCAGCTAAACCAACCCAGCGCATAGGAAAAGACCTGGAGTCATTACTTTGGAGTGGCATCTTCTTAAATGGAAGTAAGTTGAAGGTCTTAAAAGCCATTTTTATCAACTATTTTAAATATTTTTATTTTCTTTCATACAACAAATTATAACTTTGGAGCTACTTGTTTTTTCCATGCCTCTAAAAGTTATTGCAGGAACATTTGCTATGCTATGAACCCATTTCATTTCTGTAGGAATGCATTATCTTTTGTACAAAAGAGAATTGCCTTTACTACCGATATTAATATAAATGCCTTTATTTGCTTCTCAACAGGTGGAAATTAAAGATAAGAAAACATGAAAGATACAGAAATAAAGAGACTGCTGACTGCCAATGTCATCTGTATCTTTTCTGTTATTTTAACTTCTATTATTCCTTCTTTGCTCTTGAAGAATTTCTCAATCCTGGACACACATTTGACATGGCTGTGCATCTGTTCATCAAGCATTGGTATTATAAATATAATTTTACATATGATTTTTAAGCCGTATTTATCTACAAGAAGATATTCTCTTGCCCACAAGGTATGTTGTTCGATGAAATTTAACTATTGGTATGAGGCATGGATAACTTTTTTATTTGGCCTTTTTTTGATTCTCAATAATGTTCTATTTGTTCCAATGCTATATGGAAGTTTATATGAAAGAGTAAAATTGAATAAATCATTGCATGCTTTCAGCTCTTTAGGAACTTTATGGTTGCAATCAGAATAAAACCCAAAGCTCCATGTCTTCCATATCATTTCTCTCTCAATTAAAACAGTAAAATATTTTATAAGTAATTAAATGCTCTCTTAAAATTTCTGCTCTAAGGAATCTGGTTTTTTTTGTCTAAATATGAGGTATACCTTGCTATTATTTAAATATAATCTTATAAAACTTTATTTTATAAAAGTCCATGTTAGATTGCATTTAAAGTTTTAAAAGAATCCAATCATATCAAGCAAAATTGCATATCAAATGAAACTCCATTTCTAGTGTTAAAAGGATCCTAGTCATATTTCCCAAAGAATGGCGACAAATCAAGAGAGAAATGGTGGCCCTTTATAAACAGGTTAGGTAGTTTTTCTGGCATTGTGTCTATGCCTGGGAGCTACGATAGTGCATTCTTCTAGAATATTTTCTAAACCCATCTTTCCAAGTCCACATGTGTAACCTTATCCATTGTATAGCTTGTGTGTAGATTTATCTTGCAACAATGTGGTAATCAGAATATTGTTGTGGACTTACAAAAAAACAAAATTAAGCGTAAGAGCTTTCTAGCAGTTCTGATTAATAACTGTCACAAAATTGATTAGGACACTGGCTGATTTTGTGAAATATGCTTGTATAAGTATCCTTAGCTTGTAAATCTTGATTCAGATATATTGAATCAGCTGTGAAACTGCAATACAATAGCTCCTACAGGAGCATCTTCCTAACTTTGAGAATATCATAAGATTCAATATGGTATAAAACTAATTCTGATTATAAATATTTATATTTATATTACCAGTTTCAGCAAGAGATTAAAACACATTATTACACATTTTATGCCATGAAAATAAATGTGACTTAAAAGGGTTTCAATCTGGGCATTTTGTTTCAGTTGAACATGTTTAAACAAGCATTTCATTTTAATATTAAAACTCAGTTTTTAAAGAATTTATAGCCCCAAGATGAGCAACCACTCATGCTGTGCAACTCAGCCTTGTTCAAAAAGTCTTGCTAGAAATCAGATTGGACTTCTAGCAAGAGATATATATTGCTGCCTAGGAGACTGCAGGATGGGGATGGAGGGTCAGGCAGAAAGGGAGAAGTCAATAACTACTAACAGTAGTCATTGTTAGTTTTGGTTCTGCTATCAAGAGACTGTAAGAACCCAAATATTAGTTCAGTGTTAATGATCTAGAAAAGGGTTACAAGGGTTTTAATTTAATCTATAATTAATCATGTACTTCATGGTGCAAGAGCTTGCCCTCTACAAAAAATATGTATATTGATGGCATTATATATATTTCATTCTCTTTAAAAGGCAACAAGATTTGTAAAATGCTGTGTTTACTTCTTCATATCTTGTATCGTCTTCCATGGAATTATTGTTCTTTACGGAGCACCGTTACTAGAGTAAGTATGTCTCTTACAACTCTACCTGGTAAATCATAAAGTTAAATTTTAGAAATTTGAACTATGAATCAGTCTGGATTTACAGTCTCCCACATAAGACCCTCTAGTGGGAAAAGGTAATATGGATTTGCTTTTAGATATGTAGTTCTGGTATAATATTAAATATTAATAATGAAGTCAAAAATAATATGACCCACCTGCTTAGTTAACTTAGAGTTGATAAAAAAGTCACTGACAATTTTGCTTTCCTCAAGAATAAATAAAGATGATAATTCACTGCTGATGTAAAGAGGGCAGTAATTCTAAGAAAGAATGCGCAGTCAAAGACAAGATAATGAGAAAGAGGATAAATTATGGATCAGATGACATTTAGTAAGATTACCATGGATTGCGAATAGCAGCAGCAAATCAATTTTGACCCAAATAGGTTGACCATGCGGGCAAGGAATTGATGGGCTAGAAAAAAGAAGTATATTTAGCGAAGTTGAGAGAAATCAGAAAAGTAGAGAACAGATAACCTGATAGATGTGATCAAAAAGATGTGGCAATGGTGAAATGAAATAAAGGCTCTATAACAACGGTACTGGAGAAGCACCTGCTCGTTGGCTCTGTGTTTCCAGAGTAACAGGGCCATTGTCTCTCCAAGTAGGGAATCTTCCTGTATTGGCCTTTTAAGAACAGCTGAGGAAAGGACATGACATTGAGCCATGGTAAATCCCTTCCGGTGGTTAGGTACTTTGAGTAACATACATAATTATTATTCATTATATTTACATCTCATATTGCCACAGGAACTCAAGATGGTTTATATTGGAGACTCCCCTAATTTTATCTCCAACAATAACCATCTGTAAGTTGGGTGAGTACTTATAAGTGAGTACTTAGCCCTGAGTCAGTTTGAATTGGACTTTGGCTCCATTGATCAAAATGACGTATTGGTAGAAATATTATTTTTTGTATGAAAATGGCTTATTTTAATATATTATTGCCAAGTTCTTAATGGTGTACTAAAATTGTATTTCAGTTGTAGGTAGGGCATTCTATCACAGATTCTACATTTTACTGCTATAAATTCATCATAATCAATTGTAGCATAAGGTTTAATTGGCAAAATATAAAAAGAATCCAGAGACTTTGGTGGCCTTAACCAATCAAATAAAAGGTTAGATTTTTAAAAATCCCATCTTTATTATTTTTATAAACAACTCAGGGTTGCGAACATATGCATATATATTTGAAAGATGAGCAAGTGAAAACAGTTTAAGCTCTTGATGTGACAGGATACATATTAAATTATAAAATATGTAAAGTGTACATATGAAATTGAGCATCTGTGTTATTTTAAGCTCATTTTAGAGAGTATTTTAATAGTTGATGCAAAAAGCAAACGAACGTGTTATTGAAACCTGATCATAATCAAAAGTAGGTAGACTTAAGGTGAATTTAATCACACTAAATTCCACTTCTGAAGGTTGCTGTGTCTCAAATAAATAAATACACACTGGCATTGCAAGAAAGACTGCTATGACAGAGGAAACACTAGACATGAATTCCCCACTCCCTTCCCCAGAACTTCAAGTTGTCTTTGTAGGATATTATTTATTTGCTTATTTGCTTACCTATTTGTATAGAAGAGCATTAAATTTTTCTATCTTTAGCATGCAGTCTGTAAAGTAGAACTAGCCAAAACTAGAAGCTTGTTTCTGAGTAAATGGGGAGGTGTTTTTAGATTCCCCCCCATATTTATTTTTCTAAATAACTCAAGGTTGCAAACATATCCAATATTCCTCCCTCCCTCCTATTTTCTCCAACAACAGCAACTCTGTGAGGTGAGTTGGGCTGGCTCAAAGTCACCCAGCTATTTTCACGTCTAAGGTGAAACTAAACTCAGTTTCCTGATTTCTAGCCTGGTCCTTAATCACTGAAAACTGTAGTGCAGTAAAAAAAAAAAAAAACAAGATCGAACTATTTTAAATAAGGAAAAAATCAGGGTTGTGGGCAGGGCTGGGATCCAACCGGTATAACTACCGGTTCGGTGATTTTACATTTTGCATGCGCGTGTATATCGTCATCAGCTAGCTGCCTGGACAGCTTGAACAGCGCTGTGCGTGGGTGCGCAGTGGTTGAAAAGGCAATTTTTTCCTGCTTTTTCAACCGCAGCTGTGTTGCACAAAGCAGGTGCGGTTGAAAAAGCAGGAAATAAAGGTCAGGTAAGAGCCCAGGTGGATGGGCGGGCCACAATAGCAGCAGACATAGAACCAGTTCTATGTATGCGCTCTGTTTGCTGCTCTTCAGAGCAACCGGTTCTACAGAGGTGGACAGAACTGGTAGAATCCCACCTCTGGTTGTGGGATGAGCTTTTTCATACATGATCATCAAATGTTGATGTTACAACAAATATCTTAATTTTTGATGGTTTCCGAGGCAAAATCTTCCGAAGGTGTTCCTTCTTCAAATCGCTACTGATGATCACATTATTATAGCAAAGTAACATAATCAGAAAAGCACTTTTAAGATGTATGACAATGGAAGTTTTGAGTAGAAGTTTCGAGTTTCAGAATTGTGAAAACTTAGTTTTTATATAAGAGGTATAAACTGCTTCAGAATCAGTTTGTGTTTGGATGTCATATTAAACATTAATCACACATGCCCCAGATTATGACTTCAGAAGATCAGAGGCATTTGCTCTTATTTTGTATTCATTATAGCTTGATAAATCCCTACTGAGATTTGTTTAGATCTTCATTTTGGGTGGTGGCGATATACAACTTTTTCTAGGCCAAATGCCACAGTTGAATTTAGTGGGATGTTAGGGACTACTTTCTAAAAACTAAAAGATAAGCTAGAATAAACCCCATGTTTGATTTTAACTAACTTCTTTAATAATTAAACAATTTCCCTATAATGCTGTTTATGTACATTAAAATGTTATTTCTAAAGGATGTCATTTATTCACAAGATCAAATTAAAAGTCAATAGCCCCTCATTTTTTTCTGTTGTCAACAGAAAAAATATGTCAATCTTTTCAAATGCATTTACAATTCAGCAAACTTGAACTAAGATATTTTGATGAATTCATTTTAATTTTACATCGACTCAAACAAATTTTACATTTTTAAAGTATTCCTTTATTAGATATTCTGGTTCTTTAAATGTGCAAACCATCAAGGCCCTTAATGTGAACTTTAAAAATATCTCATTTTTAGTATAAAAATTGTATTTCAAACATCAAATCCATCAAGTATATATTTTTTATACTTTTCATTTCTCAGACATAGCCAAAACATCTTGTTCACATTGACATGTTAAAATATGCTTGAATTGGTAGTTATCACCCTTGTGAATTTGGGAGAAGTCAAGAAAAATGTTTAATCATTACAAAATAATCGTATTCCAGATTCTTCCCACAACTTCCAATAGAACATTTTTGCCTCTAATTGACATTTAATTTTAATTAGAATTTAATCTAGTTAACATACTATCCAGTCATTTTGCATAATTCCCCATCCCCACTTCTCTCATTATGTTTAAGTTATCATTAACTACAAATTTTAGAAATGTCTGATGCAATCCTGTGGCACAGAGCTCTCAGGTTATAAAAACTTTCATTTATGCATCTGGCTGATTTCAAAAAAGCAGAAGGAATGTTAATTACTGTTTAAGTGTAACAGTATGTTGTGATTAACTAAACTTCAAAGCAAAGTTCCCAATCTTTTGGTAACCTTTCCAAAGGAAGAAAATGAGGAGTGTGCAAACCCAGAGAAAGGCTAGGTTCATTCGGTTACAGAGATTCTCAGTCATCCAGGTCATTGTTGCCCAAAGGTGTTTTTTCATGAGGCAAGAGGACTTTCTTGGGGTTTTTTTGTTTTTGTTTTGAAGATATTTCGCTTAATCCAGGAAGCTTCTTCAGCTCTGAAGACTGGATGGTGGGGAATGGAAGGGTTTATACTCCTTGAAGACAGCTGGTCGTTTGCATTCTTTTAGAGAGTCATTAAAGTCACTTGGAGGTTTATCTGTGTACTCAGGGTCACCTGAGTAGTGCAAATGGGGGCGGAGCCAGAGGTGGTATTGAGCAGGTTCTGACCTGCTCTGGAGAACCAGTAGCGGAAATTTTGAGTATTTCGGAGAATCACGACTGGGGATTTTACAGTATCCTTCTCCTGCCATGGCCACCAAGCCATGCCCACAGAACCGGTAGTAAAAAAAATTGAATTCCACCACTGGGTGGAGCCTTCTTAGTTGCAGGATTGTCCTGTGTCCCTTCACGGTTGAAGACAGGCACAGGCTGTTGCAGATGAGTCTGTGTTGTCTGCATCTCAGACTGAAGTGCAAATGGTTCCTGTAGTCTGCAATTTTTCTGGAAATCTGTTCATACTCCCACACCATTTGCAGGGTGTTCATCCCAAAGTGCATAACCTAAAAGCTATGGAGATTCTCAGTCATCTAGATCAGGGGTCGCCAACCTTTTGGACCTCAAGGACCACCAAACTCATAATTTTAAATTCCAGGGACCACTAACCGGTTCTGTGGGTGTGGCCTATTTTGTGGGTGTGGCTTGGTCATGTGACTGGCTGGGCATGGCTTGTATGTAAATATTATAAATCTTTATATAAATATTGAATTTTTTATAAAAACAGCAACTTTTACCCAAAACCAGGCAAAGCAGGCAGGCAGATTGAGTTGCTCACAGAATCATTCAGTGATCTATCTATCTGCCATCGGCTAGCTCAGTCTGTCACATAAAATTTGCTTGCCGTGAGTCTGCACTGAATAATAGAACTTTCAGTCCTAAGGAAGGTTCGGCTGTGCTTCAAAGCAAAGCTGAAGATCTAAAGACTAGGTAGAAAGCAAGAAATCCAACCATTTCCTGCTTCCTAACTAATCTAAATCTCCCGGCACAGCAGAACAGCTGATGGTCGGAAAAAGGAAAAATAGCAATTTAGTAGGCAAGTTTGCCAGGTAAGGAGTGGGCGGGGAAGATTCCCGGTAGGCCATATGGGCAGCGCAGCCTTGTGTTTCTGTGCAGCCTGGATTAATAGCTTTGGGGGGTGATCTGGGGTGACATTTCTCTGCAGCCCACCAAAATTTTCTCGGGGCCCACCAGTTGGCGACCACTGAACCAGATCATTGTTGTCCCAATGACTCAATACCCATCTGCACTATTCAGGTGTCCCTGAGGACACAGATAAACCTTCAAGTGGCCTTAATGACTCTCTAAAAGAATGCAAATGAGCAGCTGTCCACAAAGAATATAAATCCTTCCATTCCCCACCATCCAGTCAGAGCTGAAGAAACTTCTTGGATGAGAAGTGAAATATCATCAAAAGAAAAAGCAGGAAAGACCTGTTGTCTCCTGAAAAAGCACCTTTGGGGTGACTAGGTTCATTCCTACTGTAACCCCTGTTCACATGGTGTCTGAACACAAAAGCTTTACAATTTATTGTTCTTACCTTTTCAATGTGTTTATCAAGATAGGCCTTTAAAATAGCTTCACTTTTTTTTTTCCAGATCAGTCTGGGAGACCTTCTTATTTGCAGTTCTTTTATCCACTTTTACAACTTTGCCCTGCTTATGTTTGCTGGGACCAAACTTTCAAATATGGCTGAGAGTGTTTAGTAAAAATGGGTAAGTTGCATGCAGCTGGAATTTGACAATGCCATTAGTGCAGTTGAGATTAGGCATTTCTTTAATAGTTTAATCATAGTGAAATGATGACCATATTCTTAACTGAGGCAAGACAGAAGGCTGCTACATTCTGGCTTAGCAGATCCAAGTAGTAATCTAATGCAGAGCTGCTCAGTGGCTCCTTCTACCACCAGAAGTAATTACAATTATGATTTCTCTTCTCCATCATTTATTTGAAGTTGAATCCATATGATTTTTTTTATCTTAACAAGCCAGAATTTATTGCTGGGTTCCAGTTCTGAGTTTTTAAAAAACAAACTAGAGGTTAGGTTTGCATGTCATATTATAGATACTTCTCTGATTTGTTTAAGTAGTTCTACCAATAGGAGGCACCAAACTGCAGAATTCAGCTTAGTAATTCAGCTTTGAATTAGGCATTAGCATTCTAACCCTAAATTGTGATGCAAGAACAAATCTGCATCATAAATTTGGATATGAAGCTGACTTCTATTTACTTATCACATGTAAGATTAACTGCAATTAATATGTCCAATTGCATGGTCATACTAGATAGCTGAAGTTCAAAAGCTGAGGATTTCTGCACCATGTCTTCATAATGCTAAATATTCTTATTCAAGACACTGGCTTATAACAGGTTTATATTATGCTAGTTAATCATTGTTTATTTAATGTGTTTTGCTTTACTTGTAAAAAAAATCCACTCTTTGAAAAAATGTTCATAAGAGTTTGGGTTTGTATCTTGCATCCTTTCAATAACAATTGCCTTTGGGGATGAAATTATTTTAATAATTTTTTTACATGTTTTGTAAATCTCCTGATAAATATAAACATGCAAAGCCTCAGTGGCGCAGTGGTTAAAGTGCAGTACTGCAAACTACTTCTGCTGACAGCCAGCTGCCTGCAGTTTGGCAGATCGAATCCTACCAGGCTCAAGGTTGACTCAGCCTTCTACCCTTCTGAGGTGGGTCAAATGAGGACCCAGATTGTTGGGGGCAATATGCTGACTCTGTAAACGGTTTAGAGAGGGCTGTAAAGCACTATAAAGTCTATTCTATTGCTGTATGCTGACTATCTCAAAAGCTGCTCTGTTCTTAGCAACTTGACATTCTGTTGAAAAGGTCAGAAACAGTTTGGTTAAATGATCCTTGAAAATTAGCTTGTTGGATCTTCTCTGATGTCTTTCATGTGCTGAACCCATTTATCTTAAGGCAGCCCAATGCTCTTCCCAATTCTCCTGTTTAAAATTGAAAGATTTCCTTACAAGTTTATACTCTTCCTTGAGTAGATGCCTATGATGGCTATACTTATCTAGCTAGATTGAAGGTACTATATAGGTAGCTCTTGAGTTATGGTGTCATGTGTCTGCATCATTTAGCGTCAGCAATCCTTTTCTGCGCCTGCCATGCTACTGCACGGTTGTCAAAATCAATCATGTCACATGACATGTTGTGAAGTATCGTATTGCCTTTGCAGAGCTGGGATGGCATGGCTTGCATATGATGCATCTTAGTCTACGGGCTGCCAGTTTTACACCCCTGTGTTACTATATGCTGTAAAGTGACACTGCAGTAATCTTTTTTGGTGACTTTTCATCCAGAAGGCATTCAGTCACATCAACTGTACAAGACTTAATCAGTTCCTCAGTTATTGTGTATGCTTCTCCAGCCAATGCAAAATGATAACTTACCCTATAAAATGCTTCAGTGAGTTTTTCATTTCTGGTTTGAAAAGCTGTAAAAAAATTGTTGGCTTCTGAAAAGCTCATCACATCTACTTTTAAATACTTGATTTCTTTGTCTTTAACTCCACAAGTTTGGTCTGAAATGATAGTACTATTTGACTGGCACTGTAATACTTTTAAGAAATGTTCTGTTGCATAACAATGAATTGTTAGCGTCTTTACAGCTCAGGGAGAGATAGTTTTTATCATATTTTTGTTTCTCATTTGCATTTTTCCCAGTTTCTGTCAATTTTTGCATTTTTCCCAGCTTCCTTCTAGGAGTCAAAGAACTCTGCAATATGTCAGCTTCATTTTTCCCCCAGCATCTTTAGACATAAAAGACATAAACATAGATTATGAAGGTGTGGGTTGAGAAGCACGTTATATAATCTCTTTGCTTTAAGCCAAGTTCATCCTTAAGTATATGAAAAATAGATACGTTTTATTTTATAAAATATTAAATTTTAAAACAATATTAACTTGAAATGGAATGTAAACATCTAGATTTTAAAAAAAATATTGCAAATAGGATAACAAAGTACTTCTTGTATTTCTGAATAAGCACAGGAAAGTTTTCAGATTTCAAAGTAACATTGATTGGATGATAATGATATTACGAAGATATAACCAAAGTTATAACCAAAGACAGCTGGTAAAAACACAATAGAAGTGCTAAGATGAACTGAATTAATTTCTGAAAACACGTTTTTCTTTAAATGTGTAGCTTAGAAGAATATAAGAATACAAGATTACATAAGCACACACATTCCATTACCATCACATGATGGCATGACATGTATTTAGTCTCTTGAAAACTCCCCTGTACATTTGTGAGAGAGTGATAGTGAAAAAGGCTAATAATGTCTTGGGGAGTTCTAGGGGTCTGGAAAGCACATTTTGAGAACCACTGCTGTAAAATGTCAAACAGTTAAGCGTCATCTCTTTTCTGCATCAACTTAAGTACCATCATGATAGTTTTGTTTTTATCACATATACAAATTGAATTAAAACCCCTGCAGAGTGTTTAAGGACAAAAATATTGGTGCCTGACTCAGTCATCCCAAAGGTGCTTTTTCAAGAGGCAACCGGACTTTCTTGTTTTTCTTTGAAGATGTTTCGTTTCTCATCCAAGAAGCTTCTGCTCTGAAGTCCTTGTACTATATATGGATTTGGCCATCTAATTTCTGCAAGTGATAAACCACCTACAGAAGTTCAAAAGCAACACGAGTGAAAAACTATATAATCATCTCAGTGAAAAGAGTTTTTTTTAAAAATGATGCTTTGAAACTTTTTGGAATACTAGCAGACATGATGTCCAGGTCTTCTTGGAGCTTTGGCATTGCAGAAAGACTGGGTCCTTCATATATTCCATCATAAGCACCTCAATAGAAGATGTGCACAAGAGTCTTTCCAGCTAATTGAAGAGAAAGGAGAGGGCCTTATTCATCATAGGCAGATAGTATCATTTCATATTAATACTGGCTCTATGCCTGTGCTTCGTTACAAAACTGTATGATCGGGCTTAGTTTTTTGGGAGAAAAATAAGGGGGGAAAATTGTGCCTCTGCCTACCAGCATCCATCGGTATTCATCTGGCTAGTGTCCTGTCAGTGTGAGAGTTGAGGCCTGTTTGGAAACTGAAACAGTATTTGCTGTGTGAGCAAGAAGAAGACAGCAAGGAGCCGGGGCATGGCTTAGCTCAACTGTTCTGTACTAAAGCTGCCTGATGCTCTGAAACTGAAACACCTCCTCTGCTTGTGTTTTGCATTTAGAACAGATTTCTTTTCAGGTGGGGAGGGGGAGTAGAACTCCTTAGCCTCAGAGTGTGTTAATAATAATATACGAAATACTAATGCTCTGATGGTCATTTCAGAAAATCCTTTCTTAGTGAGCATCTAGAAGTCAAGAAGAACATAAGTGCCAAATTTCAAGTTTGTAGGCCTTATACGGTTCTGGAGATTTTGTGATGATGCATAGATAGAAGATAGAGAAGGGCATATTCAATACTTGTACATGTGTATTTTGTAATGCCTGTGCTGGCTTTATCTTATATATGGTACAGATTGCTTCTCCTTTTTTGGGCTGGAAGCATAGTATTACCAAAGTTTCTTCCTGCCCACCCAGTACGTTTTCTTAACCAGCTATTTTCTGTGAAGGGGGTGGAATGAAACTCAACCAATTTTAATTGAAACCCAATGGCTGCTGTTAAATAAGCAGAAATCCCCTCAGACTTGAGTAGGGAGACATCTGGCTTCAGTTGCAGAAAGCAATAGCTCTGTTGCTTTTTCACATAAGTGCTATTCACAGTTTCCATAACCATCTGACAAGAATATAGATTTCACCTGTGTAAAAAGAGTGATTTTAATTATTTCTCAGTTGTGAATTTAAATTCTCAGCTTATGAGCTTTTTGTTCCCAGCTGAACATAATTGCTAACATAATGAAGAAATTGCTGTATATTCCAAGTGCCTCACAACCAAATCTAAAATTAATTAGTGAATCTTGCTATGCATGTGGAATCCCTAAATTGCATCAATGCCTCTGAGGATGGAATTCTTGTCCAGTTGACAGATTCTGTTCCAGTAGTTTTGCTAAACAGAATATGTGTTCCAATATTTATGATGCAGCATTTTTGCAACATGATTTTCAACAAAGGCACATTTTTGACTATTTTGTTCTCAGAATTATAAATGATGAATATAAAATTTGGACTTACCTTGTGATCTATTTTGTGTGCAATCAAGTCAACGCTGACTCTTAGTGACCACATATATTTTCTCCATTTGTCAATCATTTTGTATTTCCTATTGGTGAGGTTTTCTTGGTCAAAATACAGGAATGGCTTTTTAGTGCCTTCTCACACGCAGTATGAATTGATGTCTTTGTTCTGATGATCCTCCATCTTCCTATGCGGTTGACCTGGTAACTTGGTTACGTTTAGTGTTGCTGGTTTTATCTTGGCTCATATTTTTTTAAATTTATTATTTTGCTCTGATGTTTTTAATCTTGTTTTTATTCCCTGTTAACCAACCAGAGTCATGTGTTTGAGATGAGCAGCCATATGAAATGATGAACAAACAAATGAACAAATGAATTAATAAATAAATGAATTAATAATAAATATTTGCTGTCCCAAATAAATGCCTGTTTGCTTTAGCTCCATAGTTAGTATGACCTTCACGCCTTGAGTGTCCCTGCTGGCAATATATACTCTTGGCATACATTCCTGACTTCCTTTCCTCATCCCCCACAAGAACACCATCACAATGAGGCAGCATAGTTGGGGGCAGGGTGTTGCCTGGTTTATGGCTTGGTGCATTGTATAAACCCAAATAAAAGTTGCTTTTATTCAGTTAACCATGCATTAGTTATTCAGCCGACCTAGCCATAAGGCTAACCAAAATTTCACCCTTCAAGGCAATATCTGGAAGAATTTTCTATCAAGTAATACAACCATTACATCAAACGAAGATTTCGTATATGGCATATCTTTTTCCCAAGTAACAGTTCCTTCCCTTTTTTCCTGCTTATACACTTGAGCAAAATACCAGACTTGCCTTCGGCCAAGAAGAAAGAAGATAGGAACATGCAGGAGCCACAGAAGGATTATTTTAATGATCAGCAACGTAGAAGTACTTTTGCAATAAAATGATATGCTTCTTAACTGCATCATATGATTTCTTTCCTACAGGAGGATCTAATAAAACAGCAGGTGCATGTGGAAAATTTTTATTAAAAAATTGAAAATCATTGGCCATTTTATCCTTTCTTAGGAAATAATGAGCCTCATTGGATATATAGAAAATATTATTTAAAGAGTAATGTTTTCAGTATGGAAAAAAGATCATATTTAAATTTCATAACTACCACTTGACTCCCTTACTAGCATTTTCATTATTATCAGCGTAGAATTAAATTGAATCGAGTAGTAGGACAAAAAGGCATATTGCAGAAATTATCTTAATTGAGGGAGATACAAAGTTTTCATGCTTCAGAAGGAAAAAAAAACATTTCCATAATCAGCAGAAATAGAAGTGCTCCTTAAAGCACTTCAGAATAAAACTTTGCCAAGATGGTAGTTTATATTGTGACAGATAGTTAATGAATTTTACAGTATCACAGGTTCTTAAAAATATTGTATTTATTATAAGGAACATTAAAAAGCAAAACTATTTTTTGAAATTATCAGCAACAAAACAAATTATAGTTCAATCTAGAAGCATGCCTAATGTTTTCCACGAAATCCAAATTTTGGACTTCATGGAAATCATAATTTATAAATTAATATAACCAGAGAAAAAAAATAAAGGGAGTTCATTATTATTTTTTGGTAGATTATCCTGACTGATCTAAAAAGCACCCCTTTGGAGACTAGTGTTGATAGAATATTAAAATCTAATTTTGAAGTACAGTAATAAATAGATAATAATACAGTCTTGCGTAGATAAGTCAAAGCTATGGTTAGTAAATAAATCAAGCAATAAAGGACACACATTTTTTACGAATTAACCTCCTTCCTCTTTTATAGGGCTATGTCCATCTGGGATAACAACCTCCAGATTACCACAACATGCAGTGTAGTGGGAGCCTGGCTTGGAGCATTTCCTATTCCACTGGATTGGGACCGTCCATGGCAGGTTGGTTGCTCTTTTTTATAAAAATTACGTAAAATTGATCAGACCAGCTCCATCCAGTCCCATATTTAGTTTGTAATTACCTGGCCAACTCCCTTACAAAAGCTTATAAGCAAAGTACTAAGGGTCTTTTCAGTATTTTTTATTCATAGATTGGTGATATTTAATTGTGATTCCATTGTAAAGACTGTTAGAATATTTTCTCTAATAAGCTAGAAGTGGATGAAGCTACTTCCTCAATGTGAGTTCATGGTTGTCAGAATACTTTCAGATGGTACTCAGTGAAAACAAGGTTGCTATTGTACAGTTAACGACATTTCTCAAGTTCTAGGAGTAGCCAGTCAGCATCCGGCCCATTAATGTCATGGAGGCCCTACACTTATGCCATCTGAGTACGTGGCCTGTGGTGCGCTGCTACCTTCCATTAAAAGCACTTAACAAATGCATTTGAAATGGCTACTGGCTTCAGATTGATCTTTGAAACAGCCTTAGCTGAGCCACCCTGTGCCGAAAACATGTTTTGTAGTTTTCCAACAAGCCCTGAAGCATTTTGCTGCTTGTAGGGAAAATGAGAAGCTGGCAGGATTGCAGGACAACTGTACATTCATCTGCCAACATTATTGTTAGGGAAGGGAGGAGAGAATAAAGTGATCTGCTAATAGTGTAAAGTGGATTAAAATGTTCTCAAAGCAGATATACCCACAACTAGAGGATAATGGTATTTGGCATTCTGAATCTTGCTAGATTGAACAGAATATCTGATGTAAATGAATGTAGTCCAGTTTTAATTACTATTCTACTGTTTTCGCCTCAGATTAAATGCAAATTAACTTGCTATATAATTCAGGAATAATAATGGAAATTTGGGAGATTGGTTTCTCCCTTTTAAAAAAAGAAGCATACATCTAATTATATTCCTACATATTTTTACACTAGATAGATCTGTCATAAATAATATGTATCAAAATGTAAATCAAATTGAGGACAAGCCCTCCCAAATTTAAGATATTAAAGGGGTGCACCAGAGTCTAATTTCCAAACATGCCACAGCTATAGGAGGGAGGGGAGAATCCCAAGAAACAGGATGAGGTAGAGTTCTCTTAAGGAGCAAGGTTACCCATCTCCTCCATTTTCTGAGGAAGACTTTAAAATCTGCCTTCACCATCTTTGTGTACCCAGCTCAGAGCTAATCTCCCACCAACAGAACGCTTGATGGGAAGAGGACTCTGTTGAGCAAGGCTCTTTGAACAGACTTACAGAGATATATCACTTTTCATGCATTAGAGCTAAATTTATGGATGAAACAGGTTTTAGTTCATTAAATCTACGTAATGATACCTTATGAAGCCTCTAGGTTCTTCGAAGTTTTAGAAAGCATCCTGTCAGCAATATTTTGTTTTACCATAATTTCTCCATTAGAAATGGCTGGGCACATAGTAACAAATATAGTTATAGGTGTGGTACAAATTGGCAGATCTTTCAAAGTCACTACCAGGCTTTATCACCCTCTTAATAAGGGACATTGAATGAAAGTGTGTGTGTGTGTTCACATATACTAATGTACAACAGTGGTGGATATCTGTAGGTCAGGTGTAGGATGAGAGTGAAGATTCATTCTCCAAGCTTGTGGGTTGGTTTCTGAATGTTTCATTACCAGGCGAGGTAACATCTTTAGCAGAGTTTAGGGGATAAACTAAACTCTGCTGAAGAAGTTACCTAGCCTGGTAATGAAACGTTCGGAAATGAAACCCACAAGCTTGGAGAATGAATCTTCACCCTGATACGTTAATGTTGCAAAAGCAATTTATAAATGAGCCTTTACCTCAAAACTATAAATTGTATCAAGATGAATCACCAGGATTGTGCTGGAGAAACAAGGCTCAAGAAATAATCAGCTGGAACATTTATATTGTTTTAAGAACAATTTTTTTCTTTTTTTTGAAAGAGAATTGACTTATAGGAAAAGGAATAATTTTACAAATGAAACGTCTAGCATTGCAATACAGAAACTTACAAGACCTATACAGAGGAGTTCACATACTTCGTGCTTCCTCTTGGCATTGGTTATAAAGGAAGACAAAATGATCCTCTTGATATGCACTTTTGAGAGCTTCTGAAACCTTGAAAACTGCAGCTCCTGGATTATATCACATGTTTATATTCAAGTAACCCTTTTCTAGTTCTATGGATTTGCCTTAGGCTGATGCAAAATTAAAAGTCTGTTACATTTTTTTGCCTCCGCTTATTTCGAGATCGTATCAGTCCTTTAAAACCATTTCTGCAATATCCACAAGAGAAATTGCGAACTCTGTAGCTCTTACAATGCCTCTAACATCTTTAATAAAGAAAATGTGTGGGAGAATGGAAAAATGATGACTGCACAGTATGAGAAGCAGAAGAATGCTTACAGAGGGAGTGAGTTATTTTTGTAGTCCTAGTTTGGAAAATGATTTTCGTAGCAGAGGGATTTGGCATGATAGTTTAAAAAAAAAGAGTTGGAATAGCAACTTTTGGAGTTAATCCAAAATTAATTCCCATGCAATTTGTCTGTACTGGTAGTGCTAACCTCTGTAAATCAGTACATATTTAGGGCAGCCTTGTATTCTAAGTGATGAAAAATGAGACACTGTGCAGCCCTCTTCTTCCTGACGGGGGGGGGGGGGTGTAAATACCCTGAGCCAAAATCAGTTCGTTTCCAATTTAACTAGGCTTTGGTTCCCCCAAAAAAACTGGTTATGCAAGGAATAAGAAACAGCCTTTAGCAGTATTAATCGCATTAAGTCTGACCGTGTGAACCTATTTGCCTTAGCTCCTTTCTGAGTTGCATTAGGAAATCTGATCTGTACCTATATGATAGACTTCTGAGAAGGAAGCTGTAATCAAGGAAATAGCTAGGAACATAGCAAAACAATTACCTTTTTAACAGTAGTTGAACAGATTCAAATATGTTGGACATAAGTGGAATGAATGTTACAGGTTTTGCATACAAAGACTAATACACAATTGCCTAGATTATTTTTATTATTGTTTAATGTCTGGTTAATTCCTGAAGAGATTGAATTTATTTCGAAAGAAAATGTCCGTTAAAAATTCAGCCTTCACCAAACAAAATAAAGCAGTATGTTAGTACACTATTTAACATTCTGCAGAAAATATACAATGCCGTGTTACTGAACATGAATAAGCAAATCTTTGGTTTGAAAAAGCAGGCCTGACAAATTGAAATGGTGACCTTTCTCAGGCTGTAAATAAAAGGCCGAGGCAAGGTCAGTAAGAGTCCCTAAGGCACCTCATGAACATACTATTATTTTAACCGCTCTTCTGAAAACCTCCAAATAATGCTATATATAACATTAAATGCACATTTAGTGATATGAAGATTAAGCACAAAAGATCAAATCAAAACAGATTACAAAAACAAAGGAGCTGGTTTGATGTATCCCAGGCAGTCCTCGACTTACCACCATTCGTTTAGCAACTGTTCAAAGTTACGAGCACTGAAAAAAGTGACTTACAACCAGTCCTCACACTTATGACTATTGCAGCATCCCAAAAGTCACATGATTATGATTTGGGCATTTGGCAACCGTCATGTATTTACAGTGATTGCAGTGGTCCGGAGTCATGTGCTGATTGTTTGTGACCTTCCCCGGTGACTTTCAACAAGCAAAGTTAATAGGGAAGTCAGCAGGGAAGGTTGCAAATTATGATACCTTGCTTAACAACCACGGCAAAAAAAAAAAAAAGTTGTAAAATTGGGTGCAGTCCCTATTTACTGAACAATCATACCACTTAACGAGGAATTTCCTTGTCCCAATTGTGGTCGTAAATTGAGGACTACCTGCGGAATATGATGGAAAATTTAAGCTAGGAGAACACATGGAATAAGTTGACTCTTTTTTCCTGCCTGTTCTTTTCAAAACTGAAATAGTTTCATCAACCTGGAGCCCCCCCCCCCCCCACCTCCCCCAGGTAGAATAGGACGATATCCCAAATATCTGTCAACTGGCTTTCCAAAACAACAGTAGGGAAAGATATTCTAGAATTTGTTGGTATGCGTGCATATTGCAAGTTGGAGGAGACAGTTGGAGGAGACAGGAGCTAAATGCCACCCACACACAGACTGTTTTGCATTATATTGCCTGGATTACATTTCATTTGTAGTCCAGGAGATGAATAAAGAACAAGATGAAGGACAAAGGATTGTAAATTGTGCCTTTTAGAAGGGTTAAGGAAGTACAGTGTGTACCTGTACCTTAGCATAGCAAAAGGCACTGTAAAGATGGCCTGGACCTACAGCATTCTACAAAAGAGGACAGATAAATTGCAATGTAGTGTTTTTCTTCATTTGAATTAAAAGATGACCTCTGTTGTACTATTTGAACAAACAGGTTTTGGAACTGAAGTCAACTCGTTAATCAAATAATTTAATCGTTAATTTTTCCTAAATATTTAAAAGTCTTTATCTAAATAAACCATTGGTATTAAGAAAGTTAAAGTTCATGGATTTGGATAGCAGTTCTCTGGTTTGTCTAACTGGGCATTGCCTTATACATATATAAAATAAATTCTAGTAAATAGTTGTCTGTATGAACTCCCAAGCAGGTAGATCAGTTTTCAAGCTTGGATGTACAATTCTTTGGATGTACTTCATTGCAAGAGCCAAATTCCTAATCACAATGGTCGAGAACCATGAGAATTGTTGTCCTAAGAGATTTAATCATAGAGTATTACATGAAAATAGCTGAAAGAATGTACTAAGGCAGGAGGGGTGATCAAACTTGTGGCCTGCAGGCTGGATGGATCACGCGCTGGCCATGCCCATCCCCGTTTTTGCTGGGGGGGGGGAGTCGTGATACGTCATGTGACAATGCGACGCCACGAGTTTGACACCCCTGTACCAAGGGATCCCACTGAGATCGGGATGATAGTTGAAAATATCTGTGCATACTTTTAATACCATAGAAATGGTATGGATCGCTGTATATCATCCATATTAAGAACATACAGTGATAACGTTAGGATTGGAGCAGATAACTATGATTGCTGCAGTGTTATATCTGCAACTCCAAAAGTGAGAGCAAAACATTCCCAGTTCTTCAGGCCAGATTATTTATACTGCATGCAATGGTTGTGGATGCAGGAGCTGTGTCTTTGCACAAAGTTGGGTTTTGGCCAGAAGGTCATCATTCTAAGAACCATTTTAGAGTAGCTAGCTTAGAGCAGAAATGTGAATCATGCCAAGGGAGGCTATTGTGCCAGCAGTTTGCATCCATAGGTTGAGAATCCCTTTGCTAAGAGAGTCAGCAAACTCAGCAGAGTGGAAATAAATGTAGGCTTGTTTAAGAAAGATGTAGCCCTGTTCAGTGACTCTTATGTTTTGTTTTTGTGTGTGTGTGTGTGTGTGTGTGTGTGTGTATGTGTATGTGTATGTGTATGTAGGATGGGATGGACAAACCCTTCCTTCATTATTCTCATATATGAAGGGTAGCTGTACAGCAAGACTTCTCCCTGGGTTACAGAATCTTTGAACAATTGATTTCAATGTGGAGGAAACAACAAGAGCAAGAAGAATTGAACTACTAGACATTCCTCTTTTTCCTCACATGTAGAGCTGTGAGCGAATGCCATTTAATGTGCTTTCATGTTATTTACATTTCTGTAAATTCTCCTGTCTGCAATTAATTTTATTTTTTATAACAAAACGAGTAAGTAGTTTGCTTGAGACTAATGTTCTTTCAAATATTCACTGAAATGTTTTTATATTTATAGCTTGTAAATTTCAAATCTGAAAGCTCCTAATAAACTCACACCATTTTTAAAATTTATATCATTTTCAAAATGCTTTAACAATGAATTTGCAGCTGCAGGACACATTCATAATTATAAAAATGTAGTCCTGTTAAACCTCAACTCATCCATTCCTTCTGTGCTAGCAATCCTTTCTGCCTGTCATTACTGAGCAGCAAAAATGAAAGAGGAAAGCGCCTCCTTAGAGTTATGTATAAAAATTCTCTTTTTATAATTCCACCTATTGTTAAGCATCAAATATTTCTTGTCTTGCCCAAATAAATCCAGCTTGGACTGGATTTCACTTCAAGAGAGAAAAATGATCAAAATGATGCCATGTCTAATTAAGGAGCTCAATTGATTGCGTGTCCATTGGAATTTAAAGCAGCATTCATTTGCAATGCATTTATGTTTATTACACTGACATTTAGTGAGTTAATCAGTAAAACCAATCAAAACTGTTTTATTGCTAAAATGGAACCTTGCATAATTGACCAACTTTTTAATCTTGTGTGTGTGTATGTGTGTGTGTAATACACGCACACAATTTAGGAAGAAAGCCCTATCTTGGAAGAAGCATTTATTTTTCTCACACTCTGAAACATTCTCTAGGTTATGCTATGATTTTTTTAAAATAACAAGTAGGTTTTTTCTCTGTAAAGCTATTTTGTTTTATTCAGACTCTATTTCAGTTTATCATTTAGCTGGCTTGCTTAACTATGTCTCTGACTATAGCCTGAGTTCTTACATACTGTAAAAAGTAGAATAGTATCTTTATTTTGTTATGGGTGGGTCTGGCTAGCTACTTCTGATTTCACCCATCACAAACAGATCTTGGAGTATAGTTTTAAGGCTTAAATTCAGTTAGTGCTACACAAATAGGGGATTTTGCTGCTATGTTTATATCTTCAGCTCTGTAATACTGAGTAGGGAATTCCACATAAATAATCTGACATTGCTCCCAGGATTTTCATCCTTAAATGTTTCAAATCTTGACAAAACTCCGAGAAATATTGAGATATTAACTGCAGCTCCACATTATCTACCTAACTTGGAATTCTAAGTGTACGTATAACACACAAGCAGCAAAAATAATTTAGGAATTCATTAATGCCAATTAAATTCATTTGAGAACAACACCTAGAGGTAGGAAGAGTTAAAAAAGGGAGATCAACTGTTTTAATGATGGCTGGATCTAGTTCCAACCATGGGGCCATTCCCTGAACCAACTTCTGCTCAGATTTCTCTTGCTGGTATAATGGAGGCATTTCGGTATAGATCCCAGTTTCATTCCCCAAATACTGTGGACCATAAGCAGCTTCAAAAAACTGCAGGTAAAGCAGTGAATTGGGAAAGACCAGCAGTTCTTCCCTTTTATTACAGGGATTCTTCTGTTGGATCAGAAGTCACCAATGATAGAGGACCTTCTATCCACAGAAGATAGATGGTCAGATCTAATTCAATATGCTTTCTAGCATGATAGCAGAACTCTGTCTTCAAATATTCATTGTCACTGTACAAAGCAGTCATGATGATGTGTGCCCCTGCCCTTCCCTTTGATGTCTCCTTTAATATGTTTCGTTCTGTTGTGCTTCAATATTAAATCTGTTAACCAGCTACCTAGGACTGAAAGAATGCAGTAGGGAAGGGAGAAGGAGCAGCTTAAAAAAAACAAAGAGCAAGTTAACTGGAAAATAAGAACACATCAACTGCTCTGATCACAGATACACCACATATTTCTTACCTGGTTCTGATCAAGCATCATATGTAATAGCCACCAGCTAGTTACACTTTAATGCACAGGAGTTTAAAAACTGTACAATTGTTCATATTCCCAACACATGCCTGATGGCTATTACCCTTCCCCCCACTACCATTCTGGGTAAAAGCACGTCAAGCTTGGCAAAGTATTCTGTACCCCGTTTTGATGTCTTTCAGTTATACCAAAAACTTGTGCTCATTGAAGTTCATACTTTTCTTCTTCTAATGCAGCATTTTCTTCTTTCAGGTGTGGCCCATTTCCTGTTCACTCGGAGCCACCTTTGGCTACATGGCCGGTCTCCTTATTGCATCTTTGTGGATATATTGGAATAGGAAGCAGCTTACATACAAAAGCAGATAACTGGCGCAAGGAGGAAAGGCATTTTGATTGTGAGATTCCATGAAGATTGCACAGGGCTATGGTCAAAGCAAAAGGCTTTCCAAATCTTTTCAGAGCATTGTTGGGCTTTACTCTTCTTTTTTTTTTTTACGGCATGGTCAACATGCACTGGTAATGTGATCATACATTTGTTGTATATCCTAAACTACATTACCCCTGAGAGATTGTACATTCCTTCCCATATGAATAAAATCTTCACAGTAGATGGTGCTTACTTCTTCACATATTTGTGGTTTGCTCCCTCTCATTCTGGGTTTCACCAAATGCCAGTTCCTAAAATCCGCTTCCCTGTCAATCAGTGGATTTCTTAATAAGGTGTTGCTGTCTTGAAGTGTATATTTGCACATGTCACAAGTTTCACAGTACATGTGGCTATTGTCCCAGCAGCGCTCATGTGATCAGGCAGCAATTAATGCATCTTGAACCTATTCTCTTTTTCATTGTGTGTTTCTTTGGAGTTAGAATGGCTATAATGGCTTCATCAAAAACAGTCTTCAATCCTTTCTGCGTTAAAGCTGAGCATTCCACATAGCAATAGGCTCCTATCTGTCAAGAAAACAAATGCATTTAATAGCTACATAGACAGTGGGCATCTTCCCTAAACTCTATTAGTGAACTCAAGGGGCTTTCATTTTTATTGAAACATCAATGTTTGGTTTTTGATTTGTCTTTACCTTGAGAAAAACATTCCAGCACTCTACTTTCCAGAAAAAGAAATTTGTCTTTTGATGACAGATTTAGAATTCTTTTCATTGCATTCAGGATTTGGGAAAAAAACCCCATTAAATACACTGGAGTTTTCAGTTTGTTTTACTTTTGGCTGTATATTTGTATCTGAGTCACGTTAGGAAGAGGTTAAGCAAATGAAGTGTACTAATATTTAATGCACAAACAGGGATTACCATATTTCAGACAAATTCCTATGGCTAAATACATTATCACACCTGATATTAATATTATACTTTGGAGATTTAAAAAAAGTCAGATAATTATTTTAATTTTCTCAAATGTATTCTCACTGTGTTCCACTGCCTTATATTGAAATAGGTTATCTTTCAATTATTGAAAAATACTAAATGAACTCTTACTTAGCATTTAATACTATATATTATTCACAAAAAATAGCTGTATTAACAGATAAGATTATATACGCTTAATTCTTACACAGCTGCCTTTAAATGTAGTATAAAAGTCTGCATTCTTGCTGGTCCTTCTCACTGAAAAAAAGGAAATATGAAAATACTTGCTCATTGTTTTCAGTGGCACTGGTCCATTTGAAAAACAGAGAAATGCTAGAAGTTTATTCTCTGAGATTGTGGGCACAGCTAGAATTTTGGGAGCACATGCTGCCCATGCCAAACAGTACTGGCAGCTGGAAATGCAGGAAGTCTGCAAAGAAGTCACACATGGAGGAAAATGTGGAGCAATGCAGTATTAAATTTTAGGGATAATTTAATGTAAGAAAAATGAAGCATGTGCAGAAAAATCGGTGTTTGTAATTCGTTTAAATGCAAATCCTCCACATCAGCTTCCTTATGGCCCTTGTCGTCTGCAGTTATCAATGTGATGTGTAGCATAACATATCAGGAGGGCATTAGGTTAGGGAAGTATTGTGGTTATACAGTTTATCTGGAAATAATTGAACTAAAGGGCAACTGTTTCCCTTTTTCTTTGACTGATCTTTTTTCATTGAAAAGGCTATACTAATGTCTGCTGATTTTATATTTTTATTTACTTGTTAGCGTTATGTCCTCTATGAGGGTGAAGGGTGTTCTCCAAGCTTGTGGGTTGGTTTCCGGACATTTTGTTATGTCCTCTATATCCAAGGATTCAAAGGGATTTACATGGAGATACACTTTCTTGTTGCCATGAAACAGCAACTTTCAAAGTACAGGTAGTCCTTGAGTTATGATGGCATTCCTGACAGCCATTGCAACCTTAAGATGTTTGAGTTGTTAAGTGGGGTGGGTGGGTGGGAATGTGCCACGTGGTGGTCCAGGTTAGGCGTGCTGGGTAGGGGGGTGCATAACGTAGTAGAGAGGAGCTATGATGTGTGGATGCGCTATGGAGTGCAAGTTCCGTAGAATTTTGTACTCTTTAGTGGGCTCCTCAGGAGAAAAAGCAGCAGGAGTAACTTACTGAGGTGACATGCAACCTTACCTGGCAGCTTCCACATTGACTTTGCTTGTGGGAAGATGACAGGGAAGGTTGCAAATGACAATCACATGACATGGCACACTGTGACAGCTGGGCACCTGAGCATCTGGGTTGCAGTCACATGACCACAGGAATGCTGCAACAAATGGAACTTGGAGGACTGGTTATAAGCCGATTTCTTCAGCACCACTGTAACATTGAGCTGTTGCTGAATGAATAGATTTAAGTCAAGGATTACCTGTAGATTGGGCTGATCCTGCAAGTCTTTTCATGCAGAAAGATAAAATAAGGGGTAACGGAAATATAATATACATACAGTAATACCAAGAAGATTTGAACTCTTAAATCTCCAGCTTACCTCTTTTGCTAATTTAACGCCCTGCTCCATACATATTGGTTTTTCTTTCATGTCATTTAGCCTTGCTAATGTTTTAGGATCATCACGAAGATCGATCTGTTAGGAACGTTACAGAAGATATGTACACTTCCTTCTACATGTTACAAATCAAATTTTACATCACAGACTTTATCAAAAAAGGAAAATACAAGGTAGCCTGCTGATGTCTCACACAGCACCTTGGGGTTTAAATTAGGCATGATTAATATTGAACTTGGTGAGATTTAATCACACTAACTCAGGCTGATCCAATCTATAACCTTTGCTTTAACTGGAATCTCAAGCCTATTTCCGTAAGGTACATTCTGGTTCAAATGAACTGTGCAAATTAAAAGGCCCTATGACATTTCCACAGAATGCCCTCAAAAGGCATTTCCCCAAAATTTTAGCCCAGCATACAAGAAGATTAAGCACAGATTAAGTCAATAATTTGAATATGAGAGGCAGGGATTCTTTTATCTTCTTACTTATTTTCTTCTGTTTATTCTGAGACCAGAAATCAATTAAGGAAAATGTTTGGAGCAAATGTGCAGAAGAAAATTGGTAGCTGAAAGAAAGGCTAAATGTTCCCCAGCCCATTTGTAGTTGTATATTTGTTCATTGATTTATTTCACTTAGGCACCACCAACTACGGAAAACATATGTACAAATTACATTTTTAAAAACGTAAGCAATGTCAATTCCAGCCAAAGGCACAACACATATATCATGCACCTACAGCAAGTCTTCATCCATCTCAGTCAGAACCTGAGAAAACAGCCAAATTTTCAAGGTCTCCAGAACATCATCTTGAGGGAGAGCTTGGAAGTGTCTCTGCATGACTACTGGTAAACTCGTGCTTGTGAAAGTATTATTTCATACACACAAATACTCTTTGTATCTTCAGAATAAATTACGGACCTTGTGGCTTCAAGGATTCATGTGTTGAGAGCCAAGCCAATTTATTTCTGGCTCAACTGTGGCATATTCAAAGCCATAGTAAAACTTGCCCTTTAAAATTGCTGCAGTTCTATGGAGCTAGCTTGTTTCTATATTTGTGAGCTCCCTACTACTGATTCAAGCAGGTCTTTCAAGGTAAGAGTGAGCTGATGGCTTTGCAGCCAACTCATTCATAGAAATCATTTAGATCAGGGGTATCAAATTCATGTCATCACGGCAGTGTCACGTGACATGTCGGGACTCCTCCCTCCATTAAACTGGAAATGGCGTGGCCAGCGCATGATGCATCTGGCCCACAGCGGGAGTTTGACAGCCCTGATTTAGATATATTGCACAGAGAAAAATGGATAGGTGGGGATGAGGAATACAAGCAATTTTAAATTTCCTTGGTGCAGAAAAGGAATTTGGGGATTTCCAGCTTTCTAACATCAATGGCAGGGCAGTAAATACATGAAAATATTTGCTCATTGTTTTCAGTGCATGAAGTCTACCTGATTTTCAGGAATTAGGGAATAGGATTACCGATGATATGCCCACTGCATGTAGCTCTATCTTGAAATTCAGAATTAATTTTATGATTAACTTTTCAAGATGAAAAAAGATGGAAATGATAAGATACATAAGTTGCAAATAAAAAGTAGGAGAAAAAAGCAGGGTCTGAAATCATATCTGGGGGTTGATATATATCTGAAATCATATATGGGGGTTGATTGAAAAGGAGGGTGGTACATTCTTACCAACAGAGTACCCCCACATTTCTATTTGGAAAACCAATGTTGGGCACTGAGCCACAGACTGCCAGTGTCACATGGGTAAAAATGGGCGAACCAATTCTTCTCACCCAGAGGATACAGAGAGATGTGTATCTATGTATCTATCAGCAAAGGAGACTCGTTGGTGACCACAAGACTCTTCATTCCATTCAACTGCAGCATGTGATACCCATGCTTGTCTGAATCAGCTGTTTGGATCCTATAATTGCTGCTTGATTGTTTATGAGCAAACACCCTTTTGGTTCACAGGCAGAGCACATCAAAACACAGAGCTTTGCTTTCAATTTAAATGTTGAAACAAGTTTTAAAAATCCATAAAGAGGACAAAAGGGATGGAGGTATTCTCAAAGGACTTGGTTCCCTAACAAGAGCAACAAAAGCAGATTAAGATGCAGTTTTGTTTTCTCTCTTCAGTGGGAGGGTTCCATAGTTAATCTTTCAAGGTCTGTTTACAACTAATGGTGTTAATCACAGAAGGACTAGAGGGCTCCCAGTTGTCCCTTCTGGCTCTAAAATTAGATTGCTTTGGATGCATTTCTTGTAATTTTAGTTGCAAACTAGAAATGGAAGCCTACATGCTTGGAGAGTGCAAGGGGTAAGGAAACTGTTGCTTGATCTGGAAAGAGGGAGAAGCTACATTTATGTTACAAAGAGGAAATTATAGGTATTTAGACTTCTTCTGAATTGTAAGTGCCAAAGATTTCATGGGAAAGGATGGATTTGAAAAGAATGTTCAGCGGAAAAGAAAAGTGGCACTATACTGAGAAGGGCATTGTGACACAAAAAAAAAAATTAGAAAGGGCACAGCTCAGAAGAACTTAGGAATCTGTTTGAGAGCTGATAGTAGTAGAGTTAGAGAGGTAAAGATCACAGGAAGGAACATGTCAGTAATTTTTAAAGGTTCTGATAACATTTCAAAGGCAAAAATGAGCAATGCATGTACTTTTGTAAAGGAAGAAAAAAATATCTTGCTACTTTGGATGGATGGATGGACAGGCAGGCAGGCAGGCAGGCAGAGATAGAGATAGATAGATAAATAGAGAGACAGATATTTTGAGCCACATACCTGGGTTCCAACCAATAAATAAGGTACATTTGGTGCATATTCTTTAAGTTCTGGTACCCATTCCTCCTTCACATTCTGGAAAGAAGCCGGATTTACCACAGAGAAACAGATGAGGAAAACATCAGTCATGGGGTATGACAACGGTCTGAGGCGATCATAGTCTTCCTGAAGACAGACAGATATATTATTACTTTTTACTAAAATCTTGCATTTTGATCACAGTCATTTCTAATGGATACACATGCTGGTGTTTTTAAGCAATCACTATTCCTAGTATTCCATGCTAAATAAACTGAGCGTTAAAACCCTTTTCCAATATATTGCAGATTATCCTTTCCTCCTACTTTTGGCCCATTTGGATGGTAGTACTACTACAAAAATCAGTTACCTTCCCTGTTGGCTTCTACAATATATAGAATAATAGATATATTTTTAAGAATTATTTCACACATAGCAAACAATATATATATGTATATCTTATTTTTCAAGACATTATGCCAAGCTGTGAATGTTGCTTGATTTTAATATTTTTGTGGAGTGTCTAAAAGAACAACAACTACAAAAACCGTGAATTGAACTGCTTGTTTATTTGGTGAGGTCCTCACCAAAATAAATAAAGAGCATTTTTTTCTGGATCAAACCAAACGTTATCCACAATGGCCAATTAGATGCCAATAGAAAGTCCACGTACAGAGCTCAAGCACAATGGGTCCCTGACCCGATATTCTTAACAGTTGATACCCAGGACTTGCTGCCTCTGATCCTGGAAATAGCCTAAAACAGCTGTCACAACCAATAGTTGTACTTTATCTAATTCCTCTTTGAAGTAATTCACTTTAGCAGCCACAACATCTTGTGATAATTGTTTGAATTTCTGATATCATATATCTGTCATATCATATATCTATCTTGAATGTTTCATTATGCAGCTTCCTTGCAAGGGATTGGATATTCTTATTATATGGGATAAAAACTAATCCCTGTCTACTTTTTCAGCTCCATTCATAATCTTATACATTTCAATCATATGGTATCTCAAACACTGGCTTCACTTCTTTCACATGTTGCTTCTATTACTGCCTCTCTGCCGCACTAGAGAAGTAATACAAATGTTGCAAGATGTATTTCTGCTTCCTTCCATAAGGATGGAATTTCTTTTTTATACAGCAGCTGTATGTTAACCTCTCTACTGTGCTATCTGAGATGCAGACATTTCATTACCCAACTAGATAACATCATCAATGTGGTGTTACTTAGTTCGGTAATGAATGGCTTTAAGCAAACAACCAAGCTCAGAAGCAGCAAGACCACCACAGTTCAACCCTGAGCTAAATATATTCTCTTCTATTGAAACCTCTCAATCATAAACTCCAAGTTCTTTCCCTGTTCTGTCACTTGTAGTTCTTACTCTAGTAGCATATATGTGAAGTTAAGATTTTTTGTCTTAATATGTATCACTCGCTCACACTGATAGTTGACATTTAAAGCCTAATTTGCAGAGATCCTTTGAGAACTCTTCACTATCCCTTTTTTGTTAATTGCTCAAAATAATATGATGTTGTCCATTATTTGCACAGCCTAATTCTAGATTATTTTTCATTGAATCAAGACTAGTGCCCCCAAACAGATTCTTGGAGAATCTCACTGTTTACAAACCTATATTTAAGAATACCTCCATTTTTGAGTATTTCCCAAATGAAGTAGTACTATGGAATAGAAACCATACTGCCATAACTATGTATTTTAATTAGTAATTAATAAGGAAGAGAGAGGGTCTCTGCTCCCAGTCTTTGAAACATATACATCTTGAACTAAAATTGCCAATGCATCATTACTGAATCTCAATTTTGGATGTCCTAGCTTAAAAGAAATAAAAATAGAGTAATGTAAGAGTAATGAAGACCTGTAATTATATTTAGCTAGAATGGAATATGTTTTAAAGAAAAACTTTATATGTTTTTTTATATTTGTTTTTGTTTTTAAAAAAGTCACTGAAAACAAAAAGATGTAAAATATGTAGCTGATAAGAATATATTCTTCCTTTCAAAATACAGTACTTTCAAGATTATCCAATGAGACAGTTAACTAAAACAGATTTCACACAAAACAAAAATTCATACAATACAATCAACCTATAAAATTTACAGTTATTGGGTGTGCTGAAAGCACGTAGCATTTTAAACATCCATTTCATGGAGACTACTAGCCACGAACAACCAAAAAGCACAATTTTCATGTACAAAAGACAGTGAACCTCTGATCTGACAAAAAAGCCACCTGGGACATTGTAATCTTTAAGGTTTTTAAGACTAGCTTTCTGTTTTCTTGTCTCATACCCAGGAAAACATGATCTTTTCTGGATGGAAACCACAGCAAAATCTGAAAGTAACTCCATAATTGCAAATTAAATCTGTTTTCAGAAAGTACTGTCTTCAAACTGTTGTTAGATTGAAGATAAAGTCATATTTAAGGAACTGAAAGTCTTGTAAAAAGGACCTCATTTCTCAAGATACACGCTAAAGCTGCCTTCTTTCCTGTCCTGGAATTCAATTCCAATAATACACTCAAACTGTTGTTAGATTGAAGATAAAGTCATATTTAAGGAACTGAAAGTCTTGTAAAAAGGACCTCATTTCTCAAGATACACGCTACACTTGCTTTCTCTCTTGTACTAGAATTCAATTCCAATAATACACAGAGCACCATAGCTATGCTGGGATTGTTTCAACACATTTGGACAACAGAAGGTTGGGGAAGGCTGATATGTAGACTTTACAATATTTTATCACTTTATCAATTATTCAAAAATCTACTATTTACACAAGTCAAAGGGGATACCTTGATAGTAAATGTAAACATGACAAAGGCTGATACCCTTTACATATGCATTAATTATTTGAAAAATATGACTGAATAGATACTTTAAACTAAATCATAATGTGATTTAAGCTTTGCTTTGGCATGATATGTACATGGGTTTAGTAAATAAACCATTGTTTGTTTTAGGGAAGCAAGCTTCAGACTAAAGCCAGTTTGTTACTGACTTGTTAAATGCACCATAACTTTAAGTGAGGTCTGAAGAAGGATGCAGGACTTTTTTTTTTTTGTAGTTTCTCTGCTTATTTCTGGTTGGCTTTTGTTACTGACTGCACTGCAACATTTTAAACAGTATGGATTTCAATGTTAAGGGCAAGTCAGTTTGCAGCACATTCTGGAAAAACAAATTGGCATCTGTTAAAATTGCAGGTATTTCAAATAGGTATTTCCTGTGTCTCAACTCAGAAAGGACCACTCTGGGCTCCTCTTTCAGATGTTCTACGGTAGACCTGGATAGTGTGGAATGCACATATTCTCCTTCCTATCAGCTCACAATCAAAGATATGCAAGAGACAAAATTGGTATAATTACAATTATAATCAACAACTATAGCAACATAAATACCAAAACTGTAGACACATTACTGAATTCATTAAAAATAACAATTTATGGACTAAGAATCCTATTTAACAGAAAGTGTGCAGACTTAGTTGTCATCCTACGCATTTACTGCAAACAATTTATTATTGTCTAATTAAGGTTAATCCTTGTGGCCAGTACCAAAATACTTTATATAGTATTTGGACCTTAAATTGAATTGTCAAATACTCCTACAATAGAAAAGAGGATGAAAGCTATTCATCTATTGTTCAAGACATGATGTTTACTGGAACCATCTGGAGCTTAGTTCATTTTCCAGTGAAAAAAGGCAATGCCAGCAGCAGACATAACGCCAGTTGAGAATAAACTAAGCTCTCTATGTAACAGGATATGTATTGGTCCCTCTCTACTTGTACATATCATTATTTTGAAAATGGCTCCATTTGTACTAAATTGATTGCTTCAGGAAGCATGGAAGAATTGGTATACTTCTATGGAGATCGTGCAAAATCTTTATGTTGTGCAACAAATTAATATGCCAGGGAGAGAAAGTGGCTTCTTGGCTGACATGTTAATTTTCAACATGCAAAGTATTTTATTATACCTAGTCTATTCAAACAAAGCAATCTTCACCTACAGGTGAAGGATATTTCCATATTCATTTTAATTTTCTCCATTTTATAACATGCTTTGAAAAGTAGATTGAGTCAGTGTATTTTTCACTGTCTTAAAAGGTGTCATTCAGGATTCATTAAAACAATATATAATATCCAAACCTCAAAAATATTAATAAATGGGGAAAATACAGATAATATAAGGATAAACAAAGGTGTAAGACAAGGATGTCCCTTGGCTCCCCTACTTTATATATTAGCAGAAGAGACACTATTGGTACAAATCTGACAAAACCAAGAGATCAGGGGGTTAAAAGTTAAAAAAGAGGAGTACAAACTTCAAGCATTTGCTGATGATATGGCCTTTATAGTGGAAGATCCCCTGGAAACAACACCTATTTTGATGAAAGAAATAGAACAATATGGAAAGGTGACAGGGTTAAAAATTAATAAAGAAAAAACAAAAGTGATAACAAAAAACTGTACAAATGAACAAAAGGAAGAACAAAAAATTAGGGATACAGGTGGTAAATAAAGTAAAATATTTGGGGATATGGCTGACAGCTAGGTGCTCATCAATTAAAAAAGATAATTACAATAAATTAACAATCGAAATATTTAAAGACTTAGATAATTCGGCTAAACTACAAATATCTCTCTTAGACCATATTGCAATAGTAAAAATGAATGTTCTGCCAAAATTGTTGTTCCTATTTCAGACGGTGCCAATCAAGTTGGGAAAAAGCTTTTTTGAAGAACTAAATAAACATATATCCAAATTTATATGGCAAGGGAAAAAACCCAGAATAAAATATAAATTATTACAAGATGATAGAAAGAAAGGAGGCTTTGGTCTTTCAGACTTTGAAATATATTACTATGCTGTGATAGCAACTTGGCTTAAAGACTGGGTTAATTTGGTAAACAAAAGGATCTTAACACTAGAGAGTTTTGATCTCCAACTTGGATGGCACACATTTATGTGGGATGGAAAGAGTATACACCACTTTCAAAGCCATTATATAAGGAATGTGCTACTAAATATTTGGGAAAAGATAAAAAAGTACATTACTGCAAGGTCCCACTGTGGTTATCTACTATGGAGGCAGTTACACATCCAAATGCTTTAGATTT